TTGGATGGCATCACTGACTCAATGGACATGAGTTTGAGCAAACTCTAAGAGATAGTGAAGGACAGGGAAGCCTGGCATGCCGCAGTCCATGGGGTCGCAAGAGTCGGACACGACTGAGCAACTGAGCAACAACAACAACAAAGAGTAAACACCGAGCAGAGGCTAGATGTTCAGTTTTCCGACCATAAAGCTAAAAGTCAATCCCCACTCCACCACTGGGGGGCCTGGGGCCCCAGAGCCAAGAGCAGAGGGAGGGCCCTCCAAGGACAGGGAAGCCTGCCACGTTGCAGCAGCTGTGGTGCCCCTGCCTCTCTCTCTGCTGTCTCAAGGCTGGCACAATGACCAAGTGACAGAGGATAAATCTGGGTATGACTTGGTGAATGGTGCAGAACATGGAACTGCAAACTGAAGGTGTTTCACTGCCCCATCTAAAACACATAGGTAATTTGTTTTTCTTTCAGAACCACTTCCAGTCAGAATAACATGATCATCTTAGTGGTTTCCTCCGCAGGGCTCCTGAAGTTCTCGATGTGAATAAATTGAAGGGAACACAAGAGCAGCAGAATGAAAACCTCAGAGTAAATGGTTCCACGAGGCAAGGGCCAGCCCAAGCCCACAGTCCACCTACAAAGTTACCGTAGGCCCCCTCGGGTATGGGCCTGTGCAATGCCCATGTGGTGTCAACTCTCACTGTGTGAGTGCTGGGTCAGCTCTGGTGGATTCGACCAGATTGTTCGCAGAGCCGTTGTACCAAATGCCCTGATGCCGGTGCACCCGTTTCTTAAGTACGACACCTCCTGGCTGAGTGTCATCGGCAGCTCATCTTTGCCACACTGTGAACATATGTGTTGTCACTGCTGCTTTGATTTCCATTTTCGTAATGATGGTGGAGCTGGGCGCATGCTCACTGGCCAGTGGACACCAGTCTGGTTTCTGTGCTCTGCCTGTTTCTATCCTCCATTGACCACTTTCCACAGCCAGTGCCTCCCTGAAGTGGCTCCATCCTTCATCTGAGAGACAGGCATGGGGCTGGCTCAGACCAGGGCTGTCACACTCCCAGCCTCTGGCCTGCTGCATGGATGGACTTGGCCCCATGTGAAGAAAGGCCTGGTCGACCTGGCCTATCTTACCCCTGCCACTGGCTCTGAAAGATGCACAGGGAAGAACTGTGCCCTGGGATAAAAAGGAGGTGGAAAGAGTCGGAATGTGGCCCTGCTGATTCTCGAGACCATGCATCACTGCAGAGCACAACTGCTTCTGAACCTGAGTTGTCTTCATCCTAAAACACCCAGGAACTTGCAGTTGTGCCAGAGGACACTTGGTTACTCAGGCTAAGGAGTCATAGCCAAGAATGTGTTGAGACAGGGCCAGCTTCTCAGATTGCAGACCTGAGGGCTCAGATTCCTGGGCTATGACAGGAAGACCCACATACCCCTTGCCTTAGCCCCTCCCATGCCTATATTAGTCAAGAATCTGTCTAAATTCTAGTTAGATACAGCCCCACATGGCTTAAACAACAAAAGAATGCTATTGGCTCATGTGGTGAAAAGCCCAGTGGTAATCTGGCTTTTGGATAAGGTTTGATCCAGCAGCTCAACGGCATCACTAAGAACCAGGTTTCTCTCTGTGTGTTTGCTCTGCTGTTCCATTTTCATCTGAAGGTCTCCAATATGCAGCTCCTAATGCTGTAAGCTTTGTGGTTCACATCCCAGTCAAAAGCCCAAGATTCAGTCACTTGGGTCACATGTCCACTTCTGAACCAACAACAGGCCAAAGGGATGGAATGTGCTGACTGCGGCATCTAAGACCCAAGCTTCAGCCCTGGAGCCCCAGAGGGAGGCAGTTCCGAGGACTGCAAGGGCTCAACAGAAGTCTGAGGAGTGGGGAGCAAGCAGTCTACACCTGCTTTACAGCCCACAATGTTCCCTGGGGGTCAGGTGAGCTCTCCCTGTGGCCAAAGTTGAGGTGGGGATTTCATGGCTCCCTTCTGTGTCCCCGAGGCCCAGCCTGAGCCCAGCCAGCTTGGCACAAACACTGGAGATGCCTGGATGGGGCTCTGTCCGCCTCCTCTTCTCTTTGGGGCGGGGTTAGAGGGATGGGGAGGAGAACTGCTACTGGAAGGAAGGAGGAAACCAGTGTAGGTTGAAGGGCAACTTGTCTCTCCAGAGAGGCAGGGACTCAGCCTGAAGGCGGGAGGGAAGAAGGGTTTCAGGTGGACTGAAGTGCCACGTGCTGAGCTGCCCCTCACCTAGTGTGGCCCTTCCCTCTCCCACCCATACAGCCACTCCTTTCGGGTCCTGCTCCTCCCTGGGGTCTAACCAGGGCCTCATGTCACCTCCCAGCATGAGGCACACTTGACCATGGCTCACACTGATAGAGAACCCAGAGGCTCCCTATGACCAGGGAGAAGTCCCAACCCAGCTGTGCCCACACCTCTGGCCCCCACCTTAACTGCCTCCCTCCCACCATCTGCCTTCCCCCTTGCTCAGTCCCACCTCCACACCTGTGACCTGGGGGTCCTCCTCTAGTCCTCCCTCCAGTTAGCACAGGAACCTGCCTGCAACCCAGGGTCTCCCTCCCACTCCAGCCTGATCCTAGCATGGCCTGCAGGCCCCCCACAGTGCCTGGGAAGGTGAACTCCAATAGGCTGGCCACCACCCCCCCTTCCTCCTAGGCCCTCACCCCCAGGAGGGGGACTTCTGAGCACTTGACCTGGTCCAGGAAGCCTCAGCGATTGAGGGTGCCTGGGGCCCCATTAGGAAGGAGGCTAGTTGATTGGGTCCCGCGAGGGCCTGGGGGCAAGCTCAGGTGTGGGGTGGTGGGGGCGGGATATCCTGGACACTGGGGGTTGGGTTGGCAGCAGTGCCAGGTCTGTCCTGGAGCCACCGCAGGGCTCCTCCAACTCCAGGCCGCCTGAGAAGCCGCGCCATCGCCCCTTTAAGAAGGGGATCCCACGCCCCGGCCCTAGCTGGTGAGAAACCCCAGAGTCCGAGTTAGAGAGGGAGACTTGGCACAGCTGTTATTCGAAGAGACGGGGCTGGGCTGGGGGACCCTGGCTGCCTGGCGGAGCTGGACAGAGGGCAGGTGGGGGCTTTGGGGTGGGACCTGGCCTATGAAGGTCACGAGTGCGGGGAGGGGTCGGGGATTGGAGGGAGGGGTCGGGGGATGGCCCGTGGGCGGGGCTGAGGTGGGAATGTGAGGAGCTGCAGGGAGGGGGAGGCGGACAGAAGGTAGGAAGTCCGGCGTGCCGGGGGTTCCTGGTGCACCAGTGTAGGGCCGGTACCGTGGGCCGCTGCTCTGGCCGCTGCGCTCTCATCTTCCTCTGTACTTTCCAGCTGGTGAGTGGCGACCCGTCCTCGGGCCCGGCAATCCCGGTGCACAGGGGATCCGGACGCCGCCCCCGGCTCTCAGCCCTGCCCACTGGGTCCGCAGCAGTCTCTGCGGGCTCCCGTCTGGGCAGGGCCCACGCGCTTCTGTTGCCTTAGTTCCCCGCCGCCCGAGGGCGGGGAGTGGGAAGCCAGCGCCCAATGCGCGACCCCGAAGGCCCCTCCGTGCGACCCGGCGCGCAGTGTGTGCGCTCCGGGGCCGGGCTGAGGGCGCGGTGCGGGGCGGCCGCGAGGTGCGGAGAGGGGTCCTAAGCGGCCGCACAGGTGCTGGGAGCTGCTCAAAGTGGCTGGAGCGGAACTAAAGCCTCCAGGCCGGAGCGCCCGGCCCGGGATCTCCAAGTCCTGAGCTGGGAAGGGGCGCCGCTGCGCGCGGTGTCCACGGGTGTCCGAAGATGTGTGTGGCCCCGAGTGTGGGCACAAGGAACATATGCAAGGGTGTGTGTGTGTGTGAAGCCAGCACTAGGCAATGAGTGAGCTGCGGAGTCCCTCTTCTGAGATCTGACAGCCCCTGGGGGCCAGGGTTCAGGTGAGTTTGGGAGTATCTATCAATATGTTGGCCTGTCTGTGGAGGGGGTATTTGAGCCCCGCTCTGCCTGCCCTTGGCGGTCCCAAGCTGGAGGAGGGCGCCTCTGCCCTTTGTCCTGACCTGAAGATTCGGGGAGTGGAGAAGAGGGTTGGAGCTCCCTTGCAGGGCTGCACTTCCATGTCTTTTGTGTCTGGGATTAGCCGGGCTCTTTGAATTCCAAGCTTTGTCAGAGGACTTGGGCAGTCCTCTTTCCAAGTTTCTCCTCCTTTAGTTCTGCCCTTGGAGCTTCCTAGAGCTCCTGCTGCCCAGGAGGAAGGGCCTAAAGGAAGGTGGAGGCCACTGGGCTGGGGAGGAGATGAAGGTGGGCCTCCGGGTCTCTGGTCTTAAAAGGGAAATGCTGCTTTGTCGAGGTCTCTGGGTGGCTCCTAGCTCAGCTTGCAGGGTACTTTCTCTGGAGCTGGAGGGCTGTGGAGGAGGAAGGGTCTTGCTTCAAAGAGGCTGTGAGTAGGAAGTCCTCCTCATTGTGCAGAGATGGGAAGACCCATCACGGTGCAGAGATGGGGGTCTGGTCCTTCACCTGAGGGCAGGGCTGGCAGGAGGCCGAGATACACAGGTCCGCCTGGGGGCAGGAAGGGATTCCTGGAGCTTCCTCTGGGGCAGGCTTAGTGCTGTGGAATCGTGGGGCTATTGGTATCGAGGAAGTAGGTGGGCGATCTGCAGAGATTTTTCTGGACACATAAGGCCAGGTGAGAGCTCAGGCCTACAGAAGGCATGAGGCCCAGGGACTGTTCTGCCAGCAGCAGGGAGCCACCTCAGGCCTTAGAACAACCATGGCACTCATTATCTTTCGGTGGATGGTGCACAGATGGGCACCCCACAGGCCTCTGGAGTTGTGGCTGCAGCTGGGTGGGGAGTGGGGGAAGGCTGTCTAGGCTTGAGGGCAACAGGGTTTCCCTGGATGGGGCTTCTTGCAGACTCTTTGGTCTCAGCCAGGCAAGTCCTAGTGCCAGGACAGAGTTGCCTCCCCACTTGGCCAGTGGCCACAGCTAAGAGCAGTAGACAGCTGCAGAAGGCCTTTTGTCCCAGCCATGCCCCTGTCCCTGCTCTGCTGGGTGGAAGGGGCAGCGGAGTAGGAAGAGGTTTGACATGGTCCACCGCTTGGGTCACTGTGTGTGTTGGAAGGGGGAGCAGAGGGAGAAACCGTGGACTGAGTCCTTGGCTTTCTTTTCTCTTTGTGACAGGCGTGAGTTTTCTTGTTACCCAACTTCAGGACAAAGGCCTGAGCATTTCAGAACCTTCTCCCTGGAGAATAGCGTGACCTTTGTGGGCTCTGAGCCTGAGGAACACCCTGGAGCCTTTTCCCAGGCTGTGCCCCAGGCTTTGTAGGAGCCAGGGCCCAGGGAGGGGTTTGGGACAGGCGAGCGGGCTGCTGGGGCACTGCGGAATGCAGAGCCTTCCAGTACCTTGGCATGGAAACAAAATGACCGCCCCACCAGCCCCACCTGCGCTGGCCACCCTGCCAGCTATGGGGTCTCTCTTTGGTGAGCAGACCCTGGGGACCACCCCTCAGACTTAGAGAGCCCTCAGCAGGGCTGCACAGCTGGCTGGGTCAGGGGCGGGATGGAGAGGGCATTTGGGACATCCTCACTTTGCCTCCTTGCTCCGTGCATGGTACCTGGAGGAGCTCAGGCAGGGCGGGTATTCTGCCCATTGGTCAAGGCTTCTGGACACCAAAGGGAGGCCTGTGCTCAGACTGGGGCTCATTCTGTGTCTAGAACAGGTGCTGTTGGCCAGCTCTGCCCTGAGGGCTGTGTGCATGCTTGTGTGCTCGTGTATGCTTGTGTGTGTGTGTGAGCACTCGTGTGCACATGTGTGCTCATGTGTGCATAGGTGTGCTTGTGTGTGCGGCAACATACGTTCTTGTGCATGCACATGTGTGCTCATGTGTGCATATGTGTGTTTGTGTGTGCTCTTGTGTGCATGTGAGTGAGTGTTTCTTTTTCCTGCCCCAAGGAAAGTCCCACCAATGTAGGGTGTTCTTGCTTCCCCTCCCCCATCTCCCTGCTCCTTTTTCACCACCTCTGATATTTGCCTCCTCATGGCAGTCCTTCCACCCACCCGTCCCTGCCCTCATCTGTGGCAGAGAGTCCATGTGACCATCCTCCTTGGAGGCTGTCAGCTTGGGGTTCAAGTCCACCTGCTCACAGCTGCCCCGTCAGGCTGGGTCAGGGAGGCAGGACCTCTGCCCTGAGACACTTGTCTTTCTTTTCCCCTAATCTGTGTAACTGAGGAGCTTCTATGTGCGGGGCTCTTCTGGGTATTGGGGGCCATACTAGGGTCAGCTGAGTCCTGATGGCGCCAATAAGGCTCATTCAGGGCCCGGCAGTGGCCTAGCTCCAGGCAGTATCTGCCGACAGATGGACAGACAGACCCTCTTGCTGCCCAGGTCAGCCCTGTGCACATGCTGGGAGAACAGGGCAGTGAGACAGGACCATGGCTCTAGGAGTTGAGAGGTGCAGGGTCTCAGGACGCAGCAATGAAGTGAGAGTGGGGCTGGATGGCAGGGCCAGGCTGCCCCACCTACATGAGGGGCTCAGACTTTGTCTTAAGGGCATGGGTGTTCTTGCAGCTGGGTGCCCCAAAGTCCTGGGGGCTGCTGTGCCCACCCTGCAGGGAACAGGCTTCCCTGGACAGCACCCAGCAGACTGAGGAGAAGGCTTAACATCTGCTCAATCAGACCCTGAAATGTACCCTGAAACTGGCCCAGTTCGCTGACAAGTTCTCCACTTTGTGCCCTACTGCCTGCTTCCTCCTGCAGGGGAAGAACATTCTGGAGCCTCTCCATGGGGGTCCTGCCTGGCCACTCTGCTGAGAGACACCTTCCCCCTGGAAACTGCCTGTTGTGATCCCCTGCTTGTGGCCTGTTCCTACCTCCCTGCTCCCCACTCTAGCTGTCTCCTAGGGCAGAACCCAGCCTCCCGCAGGACACACTTGGAATACCCCTCTATGAGACCCCTTGGAAATAGCTGTCACTGCTCTGGCCAGTGCCCAGGATGCACCCATAGCAGCTGTGTCCTGGGGGCTGGCTGGGGTTCCACGAGGGCTCCAGGACACAGGCTGAGAGCAGTGAAGAGGAGTGGGAGTGTTGGGGGAGGGCCAAGCATCCTGGCTGCAGTAGGGGCTTCTGTGGCTAGCAGGCCTGGTGACCACAGAGCCAATCCACACAGGCCTACCTGGCTGGGCTCCATCCATTAGTGTTGGGGCCCTGTGTGAGGGAGATCGCCCCTCGCCACCCTGTCCTCCTCACTCCCCTCTGTCCCAGCTCTGCTGCTCTTGCCTCAACCTGTCCAGGTCCAGTCCATCCCGGCTGTGAGAGGACTGGCTTCTCCCTCTAACACCCGAGGCTGCCTGCTGGGAAGGGCTCCCCTCTCTCCTCCACCCTTCAGAGTCCACCCCATGCCAGGGCTCCAGCCAGCAGCCCCTGCCCCACTTGCTCTGGGTGGGGATGGTGCACTTGCCTCTGTAGCCCTCCTGTTGGCAGTGAGTGCTGGGTTCACAGTGGGCATGTGGGGAAATTGCGGGGTACAGTGGATTCAGTTGTACTTTCTCCTGGCGATGAACTCTGCCTACAGACAAGATGAGTGAATGAATGAATGAATGAATGAGGGAATGCTTTCTGAAGTCACGACCACGCTTGGAGCTGGTCCATCTCCCCTGCATATAAAAGGGCAGGTTTCTTAGGTGTCTCTTATTCCTTAGTGTTGGTCCTCCATCAGCCGAGTCTGCAAGGCTGGTGCCCACAGTGCTGGGGTGTGGGAGCACCCTGGAAGGGGAGAGCACCCCCAAGCTGTGAGAGAACCCTGCAAACAGAGAGGGTGCTGATCTGGGGGCCCAAGGAGTTCAATGTCCCACTTGAACTTGACCTTTCTGTCCCATGTTCACTGTTTGGCCTGACAGCCTCCTGACTTAGAGCAGCCCCTGTGTTCTCATTATACAGGTGAGGAGACTGAGGCTGGGGACTTGCTCAAGAGGAACACCCTAGTGGTGATGCTTCTGGGTGCATTTGACTCATCAGATTTTTGTCGAGGAGCTGAGACCACAGTGGGCGCTGGATAGTGGTGATCAGGCAGGAGGAGGGTCCAGGGCCACCAGGGGTTTACTGCCCCTCATGCACCTGCCCTTCTCCTAGGTTACTGCCCTGGAGCTGCAGGTGTTTGACTTCCTGGGCTATCAGTGGGCACCCATCTTGGCCACCTTCGGCCACATCATCATGGTTATCCTGGGGCTCTTCAGCACCATCCAGTGCCGGCCTCGCTACATTGTGGTGGTGAGTTGGCTCTGCTCCAGCCCTTCTGCAGGCAGGTGGGCTGGGATGACCAGCATGGGGGACTTCAGTGACAATATTGTCCTAGAAGCCACTAGAAAACCTGGAAAGGCCAGGATTTCAGCCGCACAGACCCACAGGCACAAACCTGCCAGAAGCTTGAACTTCTGAGTTCTGACATGGAAATTGTGGCTTCAGGAGAGCTTCTGGGAAACTGAGCTGCAGGGCACCAGGGTGGGATTGAAACCCGCAATGTTCCAGCACCGCTTTCCCTGCCCTGCCACCTTCCCGTACCCACCTCCCCCCACCTCCCTGTTGCGGAAGAAGCTCAAAGGATGTGCAGGAGGTTTTGCTGCAAGCAGAGCAGCATATTTCTTCAGTGTAGATCAGAATTATTGGTCTGGGTCAGGATGTGCAGCTAACACTACTGTAAAGGCCCAGGTGCGGGCTCCCAGGCTTCTTGACCACAGCCCTTGTGGCAGGTACTCAGCTCGGCGCCACGGCACAGACCAGGCTGAGCGGTATGGCACAGCGGGCCAGGGCTGGGTCTCAGTAAAACTGGGTGCCAACGGGCAGCCCTCCCCCTGCAGGCAGCTCTTGGTGGTGATCTTTGGGGTGGATTTTGGGGGTGCTCTGGAGTTCAGGCCACACATGCTCTCGCTGATTATTGGTCTACGTGGGATGGGCCACAGGCACCTCTGGGCCAGGACACTGAGCTCAGAAACTGTGCTCCATGCTGGCTCCCCCAACCAACTATTCCCATCTCCTGGGAGCACCCCCTACCCCCAGGGGAGCAGGAGCCCTGTCACCCCATCAGCACAGTGTGGGACCTGTCCCTGGTGGGCCGGAGGAGGCCCTCCTCCAAATGGAGCACCCTGGTCTTCAGACTCAGGAAGCAGAGCCCCCTACCCTGCAGAGGCTTCGTTCTCCAAGGGCATGGTGCAAAATCAAGCTCCCGCCCTGAAGAGCTGGGCTCACCCCACACCTGTCCTCCCTTGTCTCAGCAGTAGGCAGTGTGGGCAGCCACCTGGATGGCCTGGAATGTCTTAATTATCTGCATCTACTTGGATGTGGGGACCTCTCAAAGGTGAGTGAAGTTGTAGGACACTCGTGCAAATAGAGGGGTCTTGGCTGGTTCCAGGGGCTCTGGGCATGTTTGCTTGTTTATTGCCCATTTCCCTCATGGAGGCAGTGGCTAGGTCTGTTTATGGTTGTATCCCCTGCACCCTGAGCAGTCCTGGCCCACAGCAGTGACTCAGTAAAGGTTTGGAGAAAGACCAGTGATCTGATGATGGATGAGGGATTGTGGGTATTGGTGGGCAGGTGGTCTCCAGCTGGGAGGAGGTGCACCAGGGAAGGCTTTCTGGAGGAGGGGGCCTGGGAGCCTGGGCAGCACCTGGAAGGAGAGCCAAGGCTGGGGAGCAGGAGCAGAGAGACTAGCCTTTGCAGAGGGATGCAGGTGGGAACACCACCCGGGTGGTCAGACAGACAGGATGCCGTCCTCCTGCCCACCCTCTGGACTGCTCCTTCAAGTACTGATAAAGCCCCTGATCCCTTTATGGGCTGGGGGACAACTCTTCTAAGCTGTGTTCTGCTGGGAGTATCCATGTGAGCAAATCCTGCCCATGCAGCTCATTGGAGCACATCACATGAAGTGCTGTGTTTCGTCCTTGCCCAAAGCTCAGAGGGGAGTCTTAAGAGCCAGGAATGGGGCAGGCAGCATGGTAGGCAGTGGGGCATATGGCCCCTGCTTCGTGGGGCCACACCTGGACAGCAGTGGGGGGGACAGATATTAGTTCCAACATACCTGAAATGGCAGCATTGGCCAGAGATTTGAAGGAGGGGCCCAGTGCACAGCATGAGTGTGTCCTGGGCAGCGAGGTCTTCCTGCAGGAGAGAATGTAAGCTAGGGTCCATGGCAAGCACAGTAAGGCCTTCCCTGCAGGAAAAGGCTGGGAGGGCCTTGGTGCCCCTCTCCCCAACAGCAAACCCCTTGCCCTGCTCAGGGAGCCCATCTGCACTGCTGTGGGGGGCAGGCTGGTAGTGTCCCTGGCACTCACCCGGTTGGTCCCACCTCCTCTCCTTAGGAGGTCAGTGACCTCCTGACCTCAACCTCTCCTGGCAGCGGTCCTGGTGGTGTGAACATGGCCTGGGCTGTATGCATTGAGGAACCAGCGACTGGCCTGGGTCCTCTGGACAGACAGCCATCCTGGAGCATGGCCACACAGAGGCCCTGCACAGCGCCCTGCAGACCCTGCTGGCAGTGAGCATGGGGGAGGGAAGATGAGGGGGGGGTGCACCATGGCCTCTGCCAGGGCAGGAAGCCCCTCCTCACCCCATCCCTGCTGAGAGGTTAAGGAACCACACCACCACCCCATCCTCTGTGGCCTGGGCCACCCGCTCTGTGAAGTGGGCTCAGGACCAACTCTGACCCCAGGGTTGGCATGAGGATGAGCCGAGGAGACAGAATCTGAAGCTTCTGAGGATGCTGCGGGGCCAGGCAGGCATATGGAACCCTCCACTAGGGGCATTGAGATGAAGGCTTCTGCACCCCTCTCCCTGCCCCCTAGGCAGCATGATAGGTGAGGAGCCCTGAGAGCTTCCCAATGAGCTCCTCCAAGTCAGAGACTCTGTTTCCATGCCCGATGGTGAGTCCTGGAGCCAGGGGTAGCAGGGTAACCCCAACCTGGCCTGAACACCGGCTGCTTTCTCCTCCTGCAGTGTTGAGAGTAGTAGTGTGGATTCTCCAAATAAAAATACATAATGCCCAGTTAAAGTTGAATTTTAGATAAACAGCAAGTTTTAGTGTAAGCGTGTTCCATGCTATGTTTGGGACATACTTATAATAAAAACAGTTTTACTGTGTTTCTGAAAATCAAAGGTAATTGAGTATGGGGTATTTTGTCCGCAGCCCCAGGGAAGCGATTTGATGGGCCGGGAGCACGCTGAGCCAGTGCCAGGCAATCTGAGCTGACTCCAGGGCTCGAGGCAGGACGGGTGTGGCCACCAGAGGTCGCTGGTCAGACTTGAAGGCTCCTGACTCCCTGGTTCACACAGTGGGTCAAGAGCAGAGTGGCTGGCTGGATGCTGCGTTTACAACATGGATGCTCTGCACCAGCAGCTGACATTGGAAACTGAATTCCAAGTCTAGGGCCTTCCCTGGCAGAGAAAACAGGACAGTTTGGGTGCCTCTTGAGCATCCAGAGCTCCCTCTCCTCCTGCTCTCCCAGGACCTGCAGGGAATCAACATTTGGGACACCTGGATGCTGCCCCAAGGACACGGAGCTGCCCCTCCCTCAGGGGGATCTTCCCAGACCAGGGGTCAAACTCATGTCTCCTGCATTAGCAGGTTAATTCTTTACCACTGAGTCACCAGGGAAGCCTCCTTTTTAAAATTTAATTTTATGTTGACGTATAGCCTGGAGAATCCCATGGACAGAGGAGGCGGGTGGGTTATAGTCCATAGTGTCACAAAAGGTCAGACATGGCTGAAGTGAGTTAGCACACACACACATAGTTGATGTACAATGTTGCGTTGGTTTATGGTGTCCAGCAGAATGGTTCAGTTATACACATAGGTGTGTCCTTCCTTTTCCAGATTCTTTTCCTGAGTAGGTTATTATACAGTGCTGAGTGGAGTTCCCTGTGCTATACAGAGGGTCTTCAGCGAAATGCCAGTCTCCAAATACCAGTCAGTGCTCTGCCGTTTGCTCTTGAGGATCCAGGAGACACAAACCCTTGACTGCACAGTCGGCCGGTGCTGGGGGGCGAGGATGGCAGGTCCAAGAGCCCCATGGAGGAGCTGGGCAGGATCCCGAGGTGGGACAGGAGGGGCATTGGGAGGGCAGACATGTGGAAGACAGGGTGGCCTCCCCTAGCGCCCCGCCTGCCCGCAGAGGAGGAGCAGGGCTGCAGTGACGAGGTTTTCAGCACCTTGGCCAGCTCTCGGGCGAGGCTGTTGGGAATGGCAGCTAGGTTTGCCTTTTGATGGCAAGCAGATAGACACAGCAGATGCCCCTGGCCTGCCGTCTGGGAGGATGCGCTTCTGAGTCCTTTGAGCTCCAGCTCCTCCTTTGAGGTACATGGGGCATCGAGGGAAGCTGTTGGGCTGTATTGCATGAAGAGATAAGACACAAAGGTTAAGCTACTCCCTGAGGTCTCGCCACTGATGCTAGAAGGCAGCCTCTCCCTCCTGTGGCCCTTGCTCCTAAAGCTGTACTGCTGGCTGCCTTCATGTCCCTCCCCCCAGCCCCCGCTGTGATTGTCCCATAGACAGACCCCACCACCCTCTCTGAAACTTCCTTTCTGCTTGTTCCCCTGATCAGTCAAGGTACCAGCAAGACAGATATACACCAGGGGTGGTGGAACTCCTCCTCTCCCCACCGCATGCCTACCATTGCCCAGGCTTGGGTGGTGCTGGCCTTGTCCCATCTTAGCTGGAGCCCTGTCTCCTGCAGTGGCCCTGGTGCCCAGGGGTGTGTGGGGATTGAACACAGGTCTGCCCTCTTTGCCCTGAAGTCTGAGCATCCTTTGAGGAGCCCAGCTGATGAACTTGTGTCCTGCCAAGCCCTCACCACCTGCAGGGCAGCAGCCTGCCCCACCCACTCTGCCCAGAATTGCCTGTTGCACCAAGTCCTCAGTCTGTCTCCCCTGTGCTGTTGTGCAGACTGTGAACTTGGCTGACTTGAAGCTTCTCTACTGTGGCTTCCCAGGGGAAGAAATCCAGTCGTTGTCTGCTTACATTGAGAGGCCCCAGGGAGGATGGCCTGGCTGTAATGGGGTATCAGCTCAGGGGACATCCTGGCTGTGGCCATGTGCCTCCCAGAGCATCTCTCTGCATCTTATGCCTCGTTCAAGCAGGGGCTTGATCACCTTCCTGACTCACTCATCCACTGACTGCCCTCGCCCCTCTCAGCCCTTGCCCACAGGGATGCATGTGCAGGCTCCACTGGGGAGTGGACACCACCTGGAACTCCAGAGCTGAGGAGGCTGGCAGATCACCCTGCTTGTTCGGAGTTATAGATGAGGAGGCCAGCAGGCAGTGGCCACATGGTTAGGACGTGCTGAGGTCCATGTCCCATGAAGATGTGAATGCATCTCCCAGGGCTTCAGTCTGAGGGACCTCCCCGTGTCTTTCAGCCTGTGGGCTTCATCTGTGCCTGCCATGTGGTCAGTGTGATCACCAAGGAGGAGGACAGCTGCAAGTGTGTGACCACCAGCCTCCTGCAGAATCCCATTACCAACCTGCCGGCCCCGCCAGGGGGAGAGGAGAAGCTGCAGGCTGGCCACAGAGGCCTGAGAGCTGGCCTCTTAAATGGGTCCCCAAGTCCTGGCTGGCTTATGCAGAGATGGGGAGGTCCTGGGCTGTGCGGACCAGGGGTCAGCACACCCCAAGCTCCCATGGTCTGAGGGTTCCTGTACTGCAGGGCTGGCACCACAGTCCCTACAGCTGTTGCAGGCAGAAGGCTGAGCTCTGACCGGCAGAGGAAAAGCCCTCTCTCTCCCCCTTGCAGTGGGCAGCTGGCCCCATTTCAGGCCCCAGTGCTGGGGGGACAAATTTGAGAAGCACAGGCACATCCCCCATCTGAGAATCCTCTCAACTTTCCTCTGATTTGCAGCATGAACATTCAGGTGTTCTCGCTGACCTGACCACCCCAGGCTCTGATGGGGTCTCGCCAGGATGAGAGGGGCTGGGTGCACCCAGGGGGCCCAGGGCTCCTGTGGGCAGAAATTCTCTAGATCTGAAGCACAATTGAGAGCCTCTGTCCCTTGAGGTCAGGTGGTCATAGAGTGGGCGGGCAGAGTGTCCTCTGAAACCAGATTTGCTCAGGGACCAGACTCCAGGTATCCTGCCCCATGGTGTCCAGTGGCCCCAAACCATCGCTCACCCCACAGTCAACTGGGAGGAAGCGGAAGGGGCTTCCTGTATTGGTTACATTAAAATGTTTTAGGTTGGGAGCCAGCCCTGGGGTTCAGCTTTGCCCAGCGGGCCTTGGTCACCCACGCACAGTGCAGTCACAGCTTTGAGGCACCAGGACTGGGGGAGCCCAGCAGGGCAAGGGGCAGCCCCCTGCTGAGAGGCCAGTGTCCTATGAAACCCTTTGCCTAGTGGGAAACCCGCCCCCTACCCTCCAGTCTGGGCCGCTACTGCTGCTGTGTCATCACCTGAGTGTTTGCACTCGGGAACTCTGCTGTGCCATCCTGTCCATCATTTGGGTTGTTTTATTTGGGTCTTGGTTTGTTTCAGTTGGTTTCATTAGTGGATTTGACCCATTTCCTCTCTACCACATCAATGAAAAGCCTTCCAACCTCTAGTGCAAGCAGGCATCCTGTAAGTACGGCTGCAGAACCTGCCCGCTGGCCTGGCCACCCCAGAGTGCACAGCTGCCAGGCTTCTCTCCTGGGGGAGACCTCACCAGCCATCTGTCTGTCTGTCCATCCATCATCCATCTATTTGTTCATCCCCCACTTTCCTGAGATCTGCTCCGGGCTGACTCTGGGCTGAGTGTGGGGTACAGAGGCTGAGGGGACACTGAGAGGCCCCTGCCAAGGAGAATGTCCTGCTGATTTTCCTGGGTCTCCCTGCGGCAGGAAATTTATGTATTTGGCTGCGTCGGGTCTGAGCTGCGGCACAAGGGGTCTTTGTGTCCTCATGCAGGATCTTCTGTGCGCGGGCTCAGCAGTTGTGGTGCACAGCTTAATTGCTCCAGGGCATGTGGGATCTTAGCTCCCCCACCAGGGATTGAACCCGCGTCCCCTGTGTTACAGGGTGGGTTCTTAACCACTGGACCACTGGGGAAGTCTCCTGTGGCAGGAAATATGTAGTGTTTGCCCTTTTCAGAGGATCAGACTTCTTCCCTCTTGTAACGCGATGTCCACAGCCCTGCAGCCCCCAGGCCTCTAGTGGGGGTGCTTGCACTGTTGGCCTCCCTCCTCTGAGCCTTTGCCACGGGCCCTGTCCCACATGGAATCCTCAAAGTGGAGTCAGAAGAGGCGGCTGATAGCCCCCTTTCTAAAGCTGTGCTTCCTCTGTCCTCCCCAGGCCCATGGAGACAAGCTTCCCCTTCAGGGCCACGCATGCAACCATCCCCTGGGCACCCTGGCCCTCTTGGCAGCCCCCAGCCCTTCTACCCTGCAAGTGAGGCCCCATGTCAGCCAAGGACCATCAGAGGCAGCAGGTGTTCAGGTCCCATGATGGGGTAGAGACCCAGCTCAGGCCCCCGGGCCAGGGCAGCATATGTGGGAGTCGATGACCCAGGGTACACAGGCTGGGAGACCTGGCCAGGCTGGACAGGCTTTTGGGGTTTTCCTCCAGCCGTGGAGCTGGGGTGGCCAGGAGAACCCAGGGTGAGCCTCTCACCTCACTCCCAGCCCCCTGGCTCAAACCTGAATGAGGTGTCTGCAGCCAAAGTCAGCTCTGCAGGGATAAGGCCCCCAGCTGCCTGCACGGGGAGCCCCATCCAATCCAGGGCAGGCCTGGCTGAAGTCCAGCCCCTCCCCCACCCCGCCCAAGGCCAGGACACGCTCCCCTTCTTGGGTTTTGTCCACATGGCAGCACCTTTCTTCCTCATCTCTGACCTTGCCCACCCCTCACCTCACTCCCACAGGCCCGCCTAAGTGAAGAGCAGCCATCCCGTTCCTGTGACCTCCAGCCTGTGACCCATCATGGATGACAGGAGACTCCTGGCAGCGGACCCTCCCACCCCCACGGCCCTGCAGGTGCCGCAGGGTGTAGTAGCTGTACGTGAACCAGGGTGGCAAGGCCAGTGCCAGGCTGGGGATGGCTGCAACCTCTGAAGAGTTTGTTGCTTCCTTTTTCTGAAGAAAAGAAAAAGACACGAGAGAAAACCTCATTGCTGGCCTCGGTAGTGCTGAGTCGCACTTCATCCACGGCATACCTGGGGCGGCTGTTCATGGAGCCCCCTCCCTCAGGTGCCCTCCCCAGGGCAGCCAGACCCCCAAAGGCTGCACACACCCATGCTGGGGGGAGGGGCTGGCCAAGGGGACTGCAAGACGCGGCGAGTGTGACCCCAGCAGAAGGGTCAGTGTGAGCACACGGTGACCCCACCAAGCCCTGTGGGAGTTAGGGTTAGGGCCACAGGTGCTGCTGCTGGTGGGACCCCCGGAGTGGGAGCTGGGCTTGCCCAGGAGCCCACAGGACAGGGGCTGCCTGGTGACAAGTGGAGGACACTGTCCAAGCCCCCAGGGTGCAATCGTCCTAGCGCGTCCCAAGGTGCCCACCAGTGGAGGAGAGAGGAACCTGCCTCCAGATCACCGGCCCTGCCAGACTTGGGGGACAATTGCAATTTTAGTTTCAGAAGCAGCCCAAGCCAGTCCATTTTAAAAGTCCTAAAACATTGAAAAGATAGCACGAGAAATGGGGAGGGTAAGGGGAGGCGGGAATGGCCTGGAATGGACCTGACCGGTTGTGCTGCCCTGACTGGTGAGGTGAGGCAAGAGGGGGCAGGGTGGAGGGGAGGGGACAGGGTGGAGGGGAGGAGGCTGAGTGGAGGGGAGGGCACTGGCTGTTCTGGAACAGAGGCTGCTGGGCACTGTCCAGAGAAAACCCATGCTTTATTTTGACTCTTCTGAAGCATCCATGCTTAGGTAAAGCAGCCCCCACCTCCCCACGCCAAGCCGCCCGCAGCTCCATCTTCCACACAGGACTGGTCAGTGGTGGATGCCAGTTCAGGGCGCCTCAGCTCACAGCTCCTGGAGGGGAGAAGGGCTGAGTCCACAGCTCCACGTGCTTCTCCATGCAGCTGGGGTCTCTCAGCCCCCAGGGAGTTCCCTTCCCTGCCACTTCTCCCCCACTGGAAGATTCTTGGAGAGATCTTGGGGCTCAGTGGCCTTTGGGAACCCTGGAGGGTCACGGCTCCTGCCCCCCATGAACATCGGAGGGTCATGGACCCCTCCCCCACCCACTGTGCATTTCCATCAGGCCTCAGCTCCCAGCTTGAGATCCCCGTCAGGGTCTTGTGCTCAGGAAGACCCCAGCCCTTCCTCCTGACAAGGGCATCCTGCTTTTCTCCACGTGCCTCCAAGGCGGTCCTCCCCTTGGCCTGGCTGCCACCCTGTATGCCCAGTTGGATAGGAGGCTTTATCCCCTCAACCACTAGGAAAACCAAGGCAGACAGGTGCCCAAGCAGAGTGGTCGGGGCGCCCCGGGATGGTGTGTTGAGAAGGACTCAGAGCAAGTCTCTGAGCATCAGGGGAAGGCATGGGGTTGACCTGCGTTGTCTGCCAGGGCCAGGGAGTGGGGATGGAGGTGCTGCCTCCTGCCACCCCCATCCCTGCAGGCGACCCCAAGTCAGGACCACAGGAGCCGCACGCTCACCTGGCCTAGGACAGGAAGGTGCGCACGCAGCTGTGGACGGGGGCCCTGCAGATAGGGCACTGATGCAGGCTGGGGGCGCACTCTGCACAGGCCAGGTGACCGCAGGGCACGAAGACGACACCCACTGTGCGGTCCAGGCACACCCTGCATGTCCGCTCCTCTCGAAGGCGCCGCAGCTGCTCCTCTGCATCCTGCGCTCCTCCTGGTTCTCCCCCGGGGGGACCTGTGACACCGTGCCCACACCTTGACCTCTGCTCTCTGTACTGGCTGAGGGGCAAGGCAGGCCAAACGGGGAGTGCCCACCCCCACTGGGGAATGCAGGAGGGCCAGCCCTGCCCGACCCCAGATAGCTCTCACCCTCACCTGACTCCAGGGCACTCTGCACCTGAGCCTGTATTCTGGGTGTGAGCAGCTCAGGCCCTGGGGGGACAGGAGCTGTGGGCAATTAGAACAGACGAGAGGTTCCCAGGGGACCTGAGGCCTGGCCCCCAGCCAACAGGCCACAGGCCGGGTCTAGCCCCAGCTCCCCCACCCGCAGCACACCAGTGTCCCAGAGTTCACTTTCCACCATCACTCTGGTGATGGACGCTGTGTGCCTGGCACCACGGGGGCAGCAGGGGCATCTGTGCCCAGAGGGAATAAGGGAGGAGAGGTGGGCCATGCCCAGAGACAGGAACATACCTCTGGCCCCCACCACCCGGCCCCCATCCTCTTCCTGGAGCAGGTCGGCTACCAGCTGCGACGTGGACATGCTGGTAGGCATCACCCGGTGGTACTTGCGCTGCAGCAGCCCTTGCACTTGGCCCGGCCTGAAGCCCATGCGAAGCACGGCCTGTACTGCTGGGCACTGGCTCCATGCCGGCCACTCCTGGCCACCCCCCACATCTGCAAGGCAGAACGAGGGGTGCTGGGCCAAGTGCAGGCAGAGGCTGAGGCCTCGGGGTGCCAGCAGAGGCAGCGGCCAGCCACTGTGGCCTGTCCCCAGGGCCATGTCGTCATTACAAGGGGCCCTGGCACCATCACGACCACTGCCTCTACGTCCAGAGCTGTGTTCCCAGGGCCTTTGTCAGAGGTGCCACGTTACAGGGAAGATGTAAACCTGATCACCGAAGTTGACCAAGAGCCAGGCACTGCTCCCAGGGTGGCACACAGACTCTCGTTTGATCCCAAGTGAGGTTGGCACCAGGCCCACTTCACGGCTTAGGGCACTGTGCTCAGGTAGCACAGTATGGACCCAAGCCTGGAGCCCCTCAGACCCTGGGCACCGACAGAGGATAGAGGGCCGGCCTCTCCGTGTGATGGAGGCAGCGACTGGTCAGCTCTCAGGCATGGTTGGCTGATAGCAGCCTTTCCCGCTATGCCCCTCTGCCAGTCTCAGGACTGGCCATGCCCATGGCAGCCAGTTCAGGGGTAGCAGGGGACAGCTTTGGCCTCCCTGGAGCCCTGGACACACACGCAGTGCCTGTGTGAAGCCCCGGTGAAGCAAGCCCAAGCAGCACACCCTCAGGTCGGGCCAAGCGGCCTTCACTTGCCCTGCTGTCCTGCAGGGGGCACACCCAGTGAGCCGGTCATGGTGTGGGCCAGAGGTGCCCAAGGGAGCTAGCACAGGCCGCGCATCCCAGCTCACCTGAGGGGGTGGCAGGACCCGCATCTTCTGGTTCCTCCGACCGGTCCTGGAAGGAGTCAGAGAACCCCTGTGCCCTGAGCAGGAGGAGGAGCAGGGGTGGGGCGGGCCCCCCACCACCACCCCCCGAAGCCCTAAGGGCAGGAAGGACTCACCCAGGAGCCTGGTGAGCAGCAACAGGACTCCTGGACCCTGTAGACAAAGTCTCTTCCTTTTGTCCGGAGCAGAAATTCACATCTGAAGAAAGCAGGTTCAGAGGCCCCGTGGGCAGTAGGCTTGGGCTGTCAGAGGACTCTGCACTGTACAGGTGGAGCCCAGGGACCCCTGCTTCCCCCACCCCCGCCCCGGTGGTGGGCTTGCTGGGAAGCTGTTTTGAAGACAGTCTTGAACATCAAGGGAGAAATAGAAGTTCTGTCCCCAGAGAGTCCCCCCACCCCAGTCCCCGAGACACCCTGGGACTGGGGAGGGGAGGTGGTACCTGGGGAACCATCTGGCATGCTCTGTCCAGGGGTCGTCGCCTCGCTCCCAGCTCTGCAGACCCCCGTAGCAGAAGAAGCACCTCACCTTGTCCTGCTGGCCTGAGGTGGGGCAGAGACACTGGTCTTGACCACACTAGGTCCGTTGTATGGCCAGGGGTTTCCCCCCCCCCCCAGGCTGGGGTCAGGGCTCCCAGGTGGCCTTTTCTTCTAGGGCAGGGCTCTCTGGGGTTATTTGTGAGCCTTGGAGGCTCCCACTGGCCTTGGCCATCACTTTGCCTGGCATTCTCCTTGGAATTCACATGCACCTCGTTTCTCAAAGGTGGGATGGGGGGGTACCATGCTTGGGGCACTTGCCAGGATCCAGGTGCGTGTTGGGGGAGGGGATGTGGGGGGAAGGTGTGGGGAGCCCTGGTGCCCCCCACCCTGCACCTCTGCCCCACCTTAGGATGCCCCCTCTTAGGATGGATTCCCAGTGATGTAAAAAAGGGGGATTGTGTGCATCCAGGCTTGGTTTTAAGGGTTCAAAACTCCCTAAACGGGAACAGGGACCTAATCTCTCTACCCCCGTGGCCATCACCCCTGCCTCACCCCCTACAATCAACAAATTTGGAGCAGAGACCACGGATCGGGGGCTGCTACAGGCAACACACACCACCAGCCCTCTGAGAGCTCTCCATGGACCTCAGGGCTGGTGGATATCCCCACACCTCCCGTACCTCCTCCTGGCACTTCTGACACCAACACCGTCATCCCCCCAGCACAGGTCTAACTGCTCCGTGCTATTCTGGCGTCTCCCCAGGTCTGAAGCACAAGAGAGACTGCAGTGCATGGAGCAAGCATAGAAGGGCCGTGGGGACCCCCGGGACTCACCGGTGTGGAAGAAGCCGGCAGCGGCCAGCAGCTCTGGCGGCACCACGGCGCTCAGTGGCCAGTCGTAGAAGGAGGCCAGCCGCAGCTCCTCTGAGCCCATCCCGGGGAAGGCAGGCCTTGGGGCCAGGGCAGCGCCATCTTCCTCCTCCTCCTCTGCCAGGGGGCGCAGCTGGCCCAGGATCTGCCCATCCATGTGGTCCCGGCCTCCACAGGACAGGGCACTATCAGTGCCCTGGCCCCGGGGGGGGTTGCACAGAGAGTGGGGTCCATGTTGCCCCCGAGTGGGGCGGCCGCCAGCTGCCCAGTGGCTTGGCTCTGGGCCATAGCACCAGCACTTGGTCCTGTCCTCAGGCCCCATAGCGAAGACAGCAGCTCCGACGAGTTCCGACGAGTGACGGCCCTGGGTGGCCAGTTCTGGAATCTGCCCAGCCAGCTCGCCCCAGCTTCCTGACCCCTGTATCTTGCTGGGGGACAGCAGTGGCCTTTACTCCCAACAGTAGGGCAGCCACAGTCCTGCCCCCCAGATGCCCCGGGAGGGGGAGCAACCAGGGGCCTTTGGGGCCCGCCACGTTCTGGAAGGGACCAGCGTGGCAGCCTGTGTCACATGCTTGCTGCAGCGGGACTGTGTCACGGGGCCCCTGGCGGGGGCCTCGGCAACAAGGCCCCCATGGTGGGGGCAGTGGTTCTCACTCTGCTCTGCAGGGTAGGGCAGGGTCTCTTGGCACAAGGGGAGGGACTAGAGCACAGAGACCCCTTCCAAGGTGGCAGAGGGCTGGTACTGGCTCTGGGACCTCAGTGGGGGAGCGGCAGGGGTGGCTTATGCTCCCTGTTATGCTCGGGTTATGCTCCTGGTTTCTGGGCTGGGAGCCAGGGGGGCCTCTGAAAGCAGAAGTTTCCAGGTGACAGTCAGTGCTGCCTGGGGAGGGGAGGGCAGTGCCCACTACAGGGACATGGGGCAGCCACGGACCCAGGGGCGCCTAGTGAAGGGCTAGGCCTGGGTTCTGGAGTGGATTACCTGGATGTTCTCAGAACCCTGGAGCCCAAAGGGGCCCAAGCCATCCCTGTGCCTGGTCCAGCTGGGCAGGAGACCCTCAGCAGGCCATGCAGGGGCTCCTGCCCTCGGGCCTCGAAGGTTCTGTCTCCTCCCTCAGCCTTAGCTGCCGAGGGATCCGGAGGGGGAGCCACACACAGTAAGGTCAGTCTTCCCATTTGAACTGCATCCCCGAGGCACTGTGGCCCAGCCACCAGGGGCCACAAGTCCAGCTCCCTGTACCTCCAGTCATCAGGGGTGACCAAACCACCCCTCTCTGAGCCTGGCCCTCCTGCCTGCCCCCTCCCTGCTTGGTGTGTGCCCAGCTAGCCCAGGGAGCCCCAGCTTCTGGTCTGGGGGTCTCCGGGTGGCTCCAGGCTCAAGTAAAAGCCATTGGCCACATGGGGGTCCCCCTTCTCTGGGTGGGCTGCCCTCAATCCTGGTCAGAGCCCAGGCTCAAGGGCCCCAGTGTCCCCAAACCCACCAGTGATGGAAGATGAGAACCCCAGAACCACTGTAACCCCAGTGGGCAGAGCAGGGTCCCAAGGACAGAAAGGCTCCAGGGTGGAAGGGACAAAGAGGAAGACCAGATAGGGTGCGGGCCCTGCCCCCCACAGCCCCCTCCCCAGAGCACAAACCTCCTCCCTGCTCCCTAGAGCAGGGCAAAGGGGAACAGGCTCTGTGGGACCCTGATAAGGATGGGGGAGGAGGGGATCACCGGCCCCAATGCCGGACTGGCAGGGTGGGCCAGGCACAGTGAGGGTCACAAAGAGGGAGGAGGGAGGGGTGTTCTCACCCAGGCCTGCAGCCCCACCATGTCCCCGAGCGACCCTCAAACCACCACCACCCCACTGGGCATGGAGCTGCATGAACCCAACACAGACCAAGGAGCCCAGAGCCCGGGCCTGCATCCTATTTCTGGGAGGGAGGGCTGCAGTCTCACCCTCAAGAGGACCCCATAGGCATCCTGGCTGCACCAGCCACTCAGCCCCATGTGGCCAGGGTCCCACGGAGTCCTAGGAATCCTCTCCCCAGCCTGAGCCACCTGGCTCTGGGCAGCTGCCCAGCGGCTTGGCTCTGGGCTCTGGGTTTACCTGCAGGAAACCCTAGTGAAGCATGTGGCCGGGCAGCTATACCCCTCCTGGGCTCCTGGGCCTGGGCTGCCCATCCTGGTTAGTGGACCATGGGATGAGGGGTGAGTGGACAACTGGAGAAGGTGGGCTGAGTCTCCCAGGACACATGGGCCCCAACTGGGACCTCCCAGCGAGATGCCTCGGGATCCTGGTCCTCGCCCTCTCTACTCCAGCTCCCCAGCCTGTGTGGAAACATCGCTACCTCTAGTCACTCCAGCAAAACTCAGGAGCAAGTGCCCACGTTGGGTCAGCCCTCTGCCCTGCCCACCCCCACCCTTCGGTGGATGGGGAGGAGGACCAGGGTTCCCAGGTGCTGGCTCTCCAACCACTCCTATCTCAGCAGGGAAATCACAGTCCCCAGGTTTGCTCTGAACCCTCTGGAGGTGGGGACTGGCCAGTCTGAGAATCCTCTGAGATGGACTGGCAGCAAGGGCAGCGACCCCCCAGAGGCACGTCTACAGCCTGTTCCCTCGGATCCTGAAGTTTGGGGGCTGGGAGAGGAGAAACAAGCTCCCATAGTTCTGAAAATTCCAAACATGCATTTTCCAGGCGCCACCCACCTCATGGTGGGATCTCCCCAGGAAGGGGGAGGCCATAGTACTTGAGCTGAGGGAACCCCCCCAATATTGTACACACACCAGGAAGCAGGTATTTCTGCAAGTACATCCAAGTGTGGGGCTGCACAGACGAGGGGCTGAGAGGGTCACAAGCAGAGCCGTAGGCATCTCAGAGGAGGACCAGCCTTGGCCTCTTTGCTTGTTTGCATCCATGGTTGAAATTCTCAATACAAGGAGTTATTCAAGTATTATTTATTCAATTAAATAGAAAGAAATCAGGAGCTAAAAATAACAATCATACCCTTGTTCCAGAAAATTTGAAAATACTGAAAGCATGAAGAAAATAGAAGTCAACATCTGAACCAGCTCTGGCACCACCACGGCTGGTTTCCAGAATGGACCTTGTCTGACAGCTGCTTGTGCTGGAGTTCCCTGGAGCCCCGCATGTTTCTTTGCAACTCTCTGGGAATTTACAGTTATTTCAAAAGAAGCAACAGAAAAAAGCTGTCAGCCTCCCCTCCACTGGGAAGATTTTGCTGTTACTGTTTTGCTGTTTTCTTTCAGACATGCTCTGTGTGTTTGCCCCTTTTCCTCACTTAATGCTGTATGCCAGCTTTTTTTTTTTTTAATGGGCACATACTGAGGGTTTTTTTTTTTTGATGGGGGGCAGCTTCCCTGGTGGATCAGGTGGTAAAGAATCTGCCTGCAATGCAGAGGACCTAGGTTCGATCCCTGAATTGGGAAAAATCCCTGGAGAAGGGAATGGCTACCTACTCCAGTATTCTTGCCCGGAGAATCCCATGGACAGAGGAGCCTGGTAGGCTACAGTTCATGGGGTCACAAAGAGTTGGACATGACTGAGCGACTAACACTTTCACTGGAGTGGTTTTGATTTTGGCTTCTTTTTTTGTGTATGTCAGTTTTTAAACATGAATGAGTATTGGCCGATGCCTCGGATGGCTCCCCCGACGGTCTTGCTGGGGGTGGGGGGTGGTGCATTTCACTTCTTTACAATGAAATCTTCCCAAGCAGGATGATGCCAGAAGGGAGAAGGCAGGTAGGTCATCCCAACCTGTTTAGAGACAGGAGCCCAGAGATGATCCAAGACCCCATACAATTTGCTCCTGGAGTCAGACCACACCCCTACTCTCTTCAAAAGATTCAGAACCAAAAAAAAAACAAAACAAAAAAAGATTCAGAACCAGCTGGGGTTGAAGAGGAATATCCCCAGCTTAGGGGTCCCCCCATCTTGATGGGGCCTGGCCTGGGAAGGCCAGGCAAGAATGGTGGCAACCAGACCAGCATCATCACAGCACCTGTCTCCCCAAGAGCCACACGCTCACCTGAGAAAACTTATACGGAAAAAGTCCATGCAGCTATTCGAACGTGCTCTGGCTTTCCTTCAGGACGGCAGGGGGCCAGGGCCATGTGGGTGGTGGGTAGACCTACTGGACTTATTCCCCTGGAATGAGGCTTCCGAGGCCCAGACCTGAGTCAGCACCAAGCAGGGGAGGGTGCTTGTCAATCTCGGTCAGGTCCAGGCCTTGGGCCCCCCTCCAGGCTCCTCAGTTTCCAGGAAACAGTGCTAGGATGCTGCGCCTACTGATCCAGCTAGGGGCACCACAGACTCCCCTGGGAAAGGGGAGTGGGGGCCCATCTCTGCACCCTAACCCCACCTTTCTCCTGGCTGAGAAAAGAGCTGCATGAGTTCCTGACTCGAGGGTCTGGGAACCTGGCTGTCCCAGGCACCACCTGACCTGTGGCCACAGAGCCAGAACTCCAGGTGACCACAGGGTACCAGGCAAGTACGGCAGAGCAGGTGTGGGCTGGAGGCCTGGGCAGGGGCCCCTACCTTCCCCACCTACACTCAGCCTCAGAGGATCTGTAGACAGACCCCACATGGTGGGGCATGCCCCACCTGGACCCAACTCCTTGTGGAGGACTGGGTGGAGGGAGAGGGGAGGGCGGAAGGAGGGGGAGGGAGAGGGTGGAGGACGGCTTTTTAAACTCGCCTTTAGGAAAGTGTGCTGTGCACTAACCCACCTAACACCTGAGGCTGGGGTGGAGCCCCCCCAGAGCAGACCCCGAACCAAGACTGGGGGAGAAAAGCTCTATTTGGGGGTCAATGCAGAAAGCAGCCAGAGGGGGTGGGCAAGGCGCAGATGTTGGGTGTGCTTCTGCAGGGTTCTGGCCCAGGCACCCCTGCTCTGGCCCCTTGGGGCTTGTGCAACCGCAGCAGCAGCCGGTCCAGGCTGGTGACTCCAGGCCTGCGGCGAGAGTCGCGGGCAGAGCCGCAAGACACCAGCAGGGGGCGCCTGGGGAAAGCGAGCGCCAGGGCCACCAGCCTAATCCCGCGCTTCTCCCCGCTGGCTGAGGTGGGCCCCGCCCGCGAGCGGCTGTCTGGACCACAGCTTCCAGGCTGCCTAGGCGCCCCAGTCCTCATCGCCTGGGCTTGTGGAATCAGACGGTTTCCTGGGCGCGCGCGGCCCCAGGCCTGGGCAGGACGACCGGCTTGTCTCTGAAGAGGACCCAGCACAGCTGAGCCTGACTCGTTCCTGCCCCTTCCCCAAGCCCGGGTGCCCCTGAACCTCAGTTGGGAGGCCAGCGCGGGGTAGGAGCGGGGAGGGCGTGGACTGAGGCACCGCCCAGGGGAGGGAAAGGCGGGAAGGCGGAGTCCGGAACCTCCGAGTGAGTGACCACCGACAGCCCCTGCGCTCACAGCTCAGCCGCCAGAGGCATCTCACGTCAGGGGGCCCAGCCGCTATACTGGGCTGGCGATGGGACCAGGTGAGGTGCCCACCTTCAAACACAGGGAGGGCGGGGAGGGACTCCCCAGAATATTAGCAGAATGTGCCGCTAGACAGAAGCGGGTGATGAGACGTCTGGAGAGCTGTGCAGAGGGCCTTCTCTGTCCCGGGACAATTGCTGCAGGCTGGGGGTGTCCTTTCTCACACAGGAGGGCTGTCTGTCCAGCGCGATTCTCCTCCCCTGCCCCTAGGACCCCTCCCAGTGCCAGTCCCTTCCCCGGGGCTGGCCCCTCACTCCTGCCCCAGCTGCCTGCCCTCCCCCGGCGCCCAGCCCACCCGCAGCCCTTGATGTGTCTTGCTAGGTCTTGTCACACTGGCCCTTGGCTTCTTCTCCAGGTGCTGCCCCTTCCCTCGTTTTGTGGCCACACTACTCCCATGGTCCCTGATCTCCGTGGACCTCTAGTAGAGAGTCCTCGTGGTGTCCTGGGGCCTCAAGCATTTGACCCACACTGAGATGAGCTGGCGCTTGGGGGTTAAGCTCTGTGGTCACCATCTTGACAGTCTTAATACTTCTGTCTTTGAATGTATGCTTTGTAAAGTGCCATCTGATTGATGCTTTCGAGCTGTGGTGCTGGAGAAAACTCTTGAGAGTCCTGTGGAAGGCAAGGAAATCAAACTAGTCAAATGAAATCAACCCTGAATACTCTTTGGAAGGACTGATGCTGAAGCTCCAATCCTTTGGACACCTGATGCGAAGAGCTGGTTCATTGGAGAAACCCTAATGCTGGGAAAGATAAAAGGCAGAAAGAGAAGAGGGCAACAGAGGATGAGATGGTTGGGTGACATCACCGATTCAATGGACATCAACTTGGGCAAACTCTAGAAGATGGTGAAGGATGGGGAAGCCTGGAGTGCTGCAGTCCATAGGGTCCTGAAGAGTCAGACAAAACTTAGCGACTAAACAACAACAACAAAGTGCCATCCACTGGGACACAGGGGCACATGGCAGGGACTTGGGGTCTCCCAACAGCCCTTCCTCTAGGACCAATTCTTGGCTGCCCACTTCCCTGTCCCCCACCAGTGACCATCACTTACCCTTGCCTCAGGAGGGGTCTGATGGGGTGAACACAGAGGGACACTGATTAATAGGGATGGGCCCCAGGCGTCTACCAGGGTCTGTGTCCCCTCTGTGAGCCCCCCCCAACATTAAACAACAGATAATAAATAATAAACTGTGGGTCACAGAGAGATGGCAGAGGGAAGGGAAGGCTCTTCTGGCTTTTGAAACAAGGGCCCAGATTTCGCCCAGCACTATGGCAGCCCCACAGGACTGGGAGCTCGCCTGCATCACCTCACTGCCCAGGTTGATGCCTCCTGAGTTGGGAGGATGCTGCAGAGCAACATATTCCCTGCTGTTATATCAAGCACCGCATAGGGTGAGTCCTGCTATCATACCTGAGAAATAGCCGGGCCCCACACCACCTGGTACTGTCTCTGGAGACAGATGATGGTTTGCTGCTGAGGCCCTTGACCACGTGGAGCTCAGACACCACCCAAGGGAAGAGCCCAGCCTTGCCTCCAGCTGGCCACGGATTAGCTGCATGGCCTGGGCAAGCTTTAGCTTCTGGGAGGCTTAGCAGCTCCAGGAAGCCAGAACCACTTCTATCTCACTCATTTGCTCTCTACCTGTTAGATTGTGCGTCTCTCCTACGCCGAGCTGTCTTCCCAGCACTCAGCAGTGGACAGGGGCATGACCCAGACTGTGGGAGCTCCTCTTCCAGTGGGTGGGCAGCCAGTTCTGTGCCCTGGCTCCCAGTCCTGGCTGGTGAGTGTCTGCCTGTCCTGAGTCCATTCAGGGACAGACCCCAGCCAGTCACCCCTCCTGGCTCCATCTCAGCTCTGGTCCAAGGTGCTCTGTTCACCCTCACCTCTCTCTCCTCTGGGTCATGGGGCAGCATCTCTGCTCTTGAGCCTTCCCCTCAATGAATAGTCAACCAGAACTTTGCAGGCTATGAGGTATCCCCCACAAGGGGATGGGGTGGCAAGGAGGAAGGACTGCTTCTATCCCCAGAGCCCCACATGTGCGGGGCACATAGTCGCGCTCAGTTAACACTTAGGGAATTAGTGACCCAACGAGACATTTGAAGAGAGGTGGTTTCAAAGATGTTCTGTAAATCACAGGAGACCCGTCAAGTTTCCTCTGGAGCCAGGAGCAGGAAGAGCAGGTTTACGAAGTATGCAGCAGCTCCAGAGAACGTACAGAGGAGGAGGTTTCTGGAAGGAGGCCATGAGCCCCAAGCTCAGGTGAGAAGGGGACCGGGGAGTGGCCGATGCCAGCACAGGCACCTCCATCATCCCTCGGGTGAACAGGTGTCTTTGTTTGCAGGCCCCAGGAGGCCAGCGGTTGGGTGAGTTCTGTCCAACCCCAGTGGGGCTGTTTGCTGCAGCCAGGGGGGTCACCTGAACTCAGGGCCTATACCCTTAAGGCCCCACTCCCAGTTGGGGGAAGGTCTACCTGCCGGTGAATCCACAGGCCTCTTCTGGGGGTGACCTGACAGTTCTAACACCTTGCAGGTGGCCAATATGCGTGCCCTTTGACCTGGTGATCCTGCCTGCAGGCACCTCCTTCTTGGTGTCCCTGCACAGGTGTGCATGTGCATCGGGGTCAGCGAGGCTAGAAAGGCCTGCCTCCCACCTTGTTCCTCTGAGTACACAGATAGGTGTGTTTGTTTTTGGCAGTGTCATGTGTCTTGGGGGATCTTATTTCCCCGCCATCAGGGATCAAAACCCAGGGCTACAGCAGTGAAAGAACTGAATCCTAACCGCTGGACTGCTGAGGAAGTTCTAGGTGAGGTTTTCAACCATGGACTTATGTGCCTTTGAAATAAATAGAAAATCAAACCTTTTAAAATCATTTGTAGAAACATTTAGACAATCCCATCTCAGTTGGGTATGGCAGGGAGTAGGGGTCTGGGGGGGCCCAGTATACAATGGGCTCTCTCTGATGGACCTCCTGGCAGGAAACCCCTGAGTCACGTGCCTGCATGGATGTGGCTCCTCCCCGAAGCTGAAGGGCGACCAGGGGTCAGGTGGGGGAGGGTGGGAGCAGAGTGTTCTGGGCAGTGGGGAGAGCCGGTATGGTCCCAGCACAGATCTTGGGTCAGGCCACCCTCTCCCCAGAGGTCCCGGTTTGCTCCAAAGCCTGAGCTGGTCACCACCACTTGAGGCCCCCACATCCCCTCCCTGTGCCAGGAGCTGGGACAGTTTCTCTCACTCCGTTAACGGCCTGACCAGGAACAGGAAGCCCATCTCCAGACTCCGTGACTCCATCCTTCCTGTGTCCTCTGGTTTGCCAGAGGAAAAGCTTCCCCTCGGGGCTGGTCTAGGGGGCCGCAGCCCCTATGCTGGGCCCACAAAATCTCTACATTGGGCCTCCGAGAACCCTCTGTTCCCTGCTCTGGGAGATCCTCACGCTACTCCACCCCACAATATCAGTGAGGACCACTGCCAGATTTCCCAGCTGGCTGGGTGGCAGTCTGGGGTAGGTCCAGTGGTGGCTCTCAGATCCTGCCTGCCTCTTCCCTGGCCAGCAGGCTGGTGTGGCTGCACCACCTGAGGCCTGTAGTTTCAGGGGCCAGTCCTTCCACGGCTCAGCCCCTGTTGAGCACCTCAAATGTTTCAGTTGACATCATTTGTGATCTCTGTCCTAGCTGAACAGTGAACTCCCAGACTCCTGTCCTGTGAGTATGGCCTTATTTTAAAAATAGGGTCTGTGCAAATACAACGAAGTTAAGATGAGGTCACACTGGATTAGGGTGGCCCCAAATCCAATGACAGTGTCCTCATAGGAAGAGGAAGTTTCAGAGACACAACACAGGGAGAAGCTCGTGTGAGACACAGGCAGAGAGCCAGGGACACTTGGGGCCACCAGAAGGTGGGAGAGCCAGCATTCCAGGCCTTTCACCTTCAGCAGATCTCGGCCTTGGAAAGATGTTACAAATGCCAGAGCTGGAAAAGAAGAGACCCACTTGGAAGCCATGTTGGAGCAGGGCCACAGGGGTTGGGAGGCCGGCTAGGCGTCCAGGATGGGGGCCTGGTGTGGGATATGGTGGGAGTGAGTGATGAGTGGGAAGTGATGTCCCTTCAGGAAGGAGGGCAGGAAGGGTCTCTCCATTCCCCGAATAGAGACTCTAATGCCCTGAGCAGGTCCTGGACTAGGGCAAAGTGCAGTGCTGAACTGTTTTCTTCCCTGTGGTGAGATTCGAGGTCAAGAATCTAAATGCAAACTGGTTCTAAGCTGGAGAGCCCAAGGAGACCCAAGAGAGCGCTCGCTAGGTGGCAATCTCAGGAGGCCCGAGCCCAGGGCGCCGTGGGGACAGAGCCTGCAGAAGGCCAGGAGCAGCCACCGGAGGACCGCTAACCTCCGAGGGTTGTTGGCGGGTCGTTTGGGGCGAGCTGCGGGGTAGAGCGGACTGCAGCCCGCTGAAAGTGGCTTTCGGTGGATGCTCGCACTCGCGGGTTGCTCTTCTTCACACCTGAGGGACAAGCGCGGGGGTTGCCCCCGGGCTCACAATCTGTGCCAACCTGTGCCGGCAAGCGCCGTGCAGCCGCAGCATCATTGCCACCTTTGTGGCTGCGGGAGCGAAGCCAGACAGGAGCACACCTGCGGGGCGGGGCCCGCGGCGCTCCAGGACATGCACACGTGACTGCCGCGGCTCGCCCCATCCCGCCGCGCAAGACTGGGACCAGGGCGCGAGATCCGTCCCGCCGGGGGGCAGCGCGCAGGCGCGGCGCGTGGCTGCACGTCGACCTCCCGGCCTGCCCCGCGCTAGTGACGTCGTGCCGCCTGGTCCCCGCCGCTGCCGCTGCCGCTGCCGCTGCCGCCGCTACCGCCATTGGAGTCGGCGCCTAGTCAGTACGTTCCGTCCCGCTAGCCGCCTCGCGCCCGCCCACGAGCGGCCCGCGCGCCCGGCAGCCGCCGCCGCCGCCGCCGCCGCCCGGCTGGCCGGCGCCTGGGGAGGAGGCGGCGTGCCCGGGGCCGCGAGAGCTCGGGTGACAGGCCCGGCCTCGCGGGGAGGCCCGAGCCGGCGGGCGCCCTGGCCCCGCGCCGCGCCGGTTGTTCATGAAGCATGTCGGCCACCAGCGTGGACCCTCAGGTAGTGGCGGGACCGAGGTCGCGGGGCCGGGCGGCGGGGTCGCGGGGGCAGCTCGCGGGGCCGGAGTAGGGGTCGGGCTGGGGTCACGGGGCCGGAGCGCCGTCGCCTGGGGCCACGGACCGGTTCGGGCCGGAGCGCGCCGCCCGCAAGGAGGGGTTCTGGTGGATAAGTTGTGTTTCTTCTCTCCGGGTGCTGTCCGTTCGCATGTCCGGCCTGCGGCGAATCAGAGAACAAAAGGACAAGATAATAAAGGTGAGCGAAGTCGGTATGGCAGCCGGGGACCGGGGCGGAGGGGCCCGAGAGCGGAGGGGGCAGCGCTCGCCGAGACCCGGTGCACGTGTATTGGGGGGAGAGAGGTCTCCAAAGCGGCGGCCAGGACCGCGGAGTTTTCCTCTCTCAGCCTCAGGGAGAGAAAACTTCGGAATTTGATACTGGGGGAGACGAAACAGGTCGAAAACAGGGACTTTTCAAGAAGTAAGTAAATCGACGGGGAGAGTAATTCCGTCGTTCCCTCTTTCCGCAGGGTCGGCGGTGGGCGGGGCGGGGAGGGAAGGAGCCCAGGGGCTGAGCGACCCTCCTGTCCGTGACCCCAGGCGTGGGGCTGGCCTTTGGCCCTGTAATTCTGGCGCCTTACCCCAGTAGTTCAAGCCTCTGTCTTTTGAGTGTCTTGTAATCTCTTGGGATAGTCTGGCTTGGGGTCCACTCCCAGAACTCACTCCTGGGAAAACTGGTGACGCTTCTTGTTTACTCCATAGACTATTTTGAACCAGGGTGTGTATGCCTCGGGTGTAACCAAATAGGGTTATCACGTTTGGAGATTGGAGAAGGCCCAGCACTTCTTTACCTTCCCCTCCTTTCCTGGCTGAGTGTGGTGACAGTGGAAAGTAAGAGTGCAGCCAGATAATAGTTCAGAGATGTCCAGTTACAGCTTCCTGGCCTCACTCCCCACTCCTTGCTGGGCATACAAAGACCTTTGAATGCATCACCTTTACCAAATCCGGATTATGAGTTCCTGGCATTGTCTCATCTGCACCTTTGTTTTGTTCAGTTGTTAGTCCTGTCCAACTCTTTGCGACCCCATGAATCACAGCACACCAGGCCTCCCTGTCCATCTGTTTTGTTAGTGTCTACCAAATTCCAGTTAATTTTCATAAAAATCATAACCTAAGTTACTGAAAGTTTTGTTATCATTTTTCTAATTAGTTGTGTATCAATTCCGAACGTCTGTGTCCATTTTTAAAGTAAAAGCAATTTCTAGAAGTTGATGGACATAAACTTGAGTTTTTCCAATTTCTATGATTAAAAGCAGTGTTTTAAGAACTCAAAGGTAATATGTTGCAAATTCTCTTGCAGTACAAAATGGATCTTTGCATCAGAAGGATACCGTTCACGACAATGACTTTGAGCCCTACCTTTCCGGACAGTCAAACCAGGTGAGTTTATCTTTTTATAACATGTTTGCATTTAGTTCAACTGAGCTTTAAAAAGTAAATACACATTTACTACTGTATTTGTAACTTTATCATCCTGAAGAACAGAGATGCAGACCATAAAGTACTAGAGGTAAAGTAAGAAGCTGACAAAGGTTTGTTTTGAAGAGCAGCGTCACATCGAAGGTGGGGCATGAATGCAGTGAAGCTGGTCTTCTCTCTGGAGGAGATGACGTCCCACCGGGGCTGGCAGGCATGCAGCATTCTAGTTGGTTGGTCTCAGTATTGCTGGGTCAACGATGGCATTGCGTTTTACAAAGTGGAGCAGCACTTAGTTCTCTGAAGCTTTCCAGTGACTTTTTTTTTTCTTAGCTCTGAGCGATTGGAATTTTGGTCTAGGAGCAGCTAGAGCAGGACTCTGGAGTGAGGCTCCATCTTTGGGTTCTTCACGCTGCTGCTGACTGTGACGCTTTCTTGATGGCTTGCCCCCTCTGTGCTCGCTTACTTTTCTCTAGACAGTTGAAGAGGTGACTCCTGACAGCGTTGTGGGCAGGGTGAGATGACAGGGTGCCCTTAGAGCTCAAGGCAGTACTTAATGGGTTGTAGCCACCCGTTCTCTTAGGTGTTGCAGATTTTCTTAGCCTTGGCAGTAAGGGGATTGTGGATTGAAGTGCTGTCTGTTTGGGGGGCCGTCTTGCACATTGTAGGATGTTTAGGAGCCTCCTGGGCCTGCATCCATGAAATGTCATTAGTATCTGCATGCTATCCCGTGTGACAACCAGAAATATCACGGGTGTCTTCTCGGGGGGCTGCGTTGTCCTGTCTAAAACCACTAGGTTAGTTTGAATTCAAGTTTAAACAAAACATCTGCCACTTCTAAAGTGCATGGTGTATGTTTGCTTTAGAATAAAATGAGTCTCTGCCTCTTTCCTGTGGAATGAAGCTGGGCTGCCTGTTTCCTTGCTTGTCTGCTCTTCTCTGGAGTGTCTTAGGACTTTTCTCCATTCTCCTCTTTCCTGCTCCACTTGGCAGGGCAGAGGCTGAGGGCCACACACACCCCGTCCCACCCCACCCCATCCCCAAGAACCCACCCCTCCTCTGGGCAGGACAAGGGACTGCTCGGTGATGGCCTTTCAGCCTGAGGTGTGGCAGGAAGTTGAGCCGACTTAAACTTATTTCTCTTGCATGATTTGCTCCAGCAGTGTTATGTATTAAATTTTAACCAAAAATATCGGGAAAGGAGGTTGCTTCACTTAAAACAAATTTTCATAAGGTAGGATGCTTTGAAAAAGAGTAGATGACTTTCTTTTCTTTTAAAGTTTATTTTTGACTGCTCTGGGTCGTCTTCATTGCTGCATGTGGGCTTTTCTCTAGTTGCAGTGAGCAGGGGCTACTCTTTGTTGTGGTGTGTGAGCTTCTCATTGTGGTGGTTTCTCTTATTATGGAGCACGGGCTCTAGGGCCTGTGGACTTCAGTAGTTGTTGCACATGGGGTCAGTAGTTGTGGCTCATGGGCTCTAGAGCACCGGCTCAATAGTTGTGGTGCATGGACTTCGTTGCTCTGTGGCATGTGGGATCTTCCCAGAGCAGGGATTGAACCTATGTTCCCTGCATTGGCCGGCGGATTCTTCATCACTGGACCACCAGGGATCTTTGAGTAGGTGACTTTCTGATGTCAATGTAGTACTCCAGCTGCCTTACTCTGGGGAGGCCATTTGGAAAGACTGGGGTAGGTTGGTGCTATCAGTGGACACTTAAAGAATAGCCCCTTCATTATGTGTGTTAAGATGTGCAGTTTTCAGCAAGATGACTAGACAGCACATCACTTAAGAGGGACTCTGTTGAGAAAACTCTTGACTGAAAGTAGACTGTCCAGAAATGCCCAATTGTGTAGGAAGCCTGCCACTCAGGAGGGCTCTTAGATCCTGGTTTTCCTCGCCTTTTCATATTAGGGACACAGACCGTGAGGGCCAGAGAGGCTCTGCTATGCCCAGTGGCAGAGCCAGGCTGTGGACTGAGGGGCGGAACTTCTCTCCAAGTGTGCAGCAGGGTCCATGGGTCCTGTGGCCACTCCTGTCTTCACCAGGGCTGTGATGCCATCAAGAGTCCCTCCTCTAGATGTGGGCTCTGCTGCTCTATCCCTCCAGGCTGCTAGTGAGGAGGCCTGAGTGGTGATGGGTGTGGCCGGGAAGTGAGTGCCCACTTCCCGTCTGTGCTCAGCCTTTACTGAGGTGTTGTTGACATGAGATGAGCTGTATGTGTTTAAAGAAGGCAGTTTTCTATGTGACCTTTCCCTGGTGTGCATGTGCACCTGTAGAGCTGTTGCTAAGGTGGAGGTTGTGGGCATATCCTTCAGCCTTGTGGTGCTTACCTGTCTTTTTTTAACCCAGACATTTTTTTTTAATCGAACTGTGCAGTAGCCAGTTGGAGACACTGGTTTTCTGGTTTGGGAAACCTTAAGGCTTCAAATGATTTGGAAAACATTTAAAAGCACACCTGTCAGTTAAGTTAGGTGACTTGTACTGCTCTCTGGTAGATCTGCCTTCTTCGGATAGGCCCTGGGTCCCTGCTTCAGGTGTGTTTTTCTTCCTAGTGGCCTCAAAGAGCATCCTTATGTAGCAGCTCTGGATCTTCATTTGTGACTTGAAATACTCGTCAGTCAGTACTTTGGAAATGATGAGGGTAGAGAAAGCACAGGGGAGGACAGCGGGGCTGGGGTAGGGGACCCAGGGGTGAGGGTGAGAGGCTTTGGGTGGGGCCCTAGGGATTCCCTGGTAGCTCAACTGGTAAAGAGTCTGCCTGTAATGCAGGAGACCCCGGTTCAGTTCCTGGGTCAGGAAGATTCGCTGGAGAAGGGATAGGCTATCCGCTCCAGTATACTTGGGCTTCCCTGGTGGCTAAGCTGGTAAAGAATCTGCCTGCAATGCGGGAGACCCGGGCTCAATCCCTGGGTTAGGCAGATCCCCTGGAGAAGGGAACAGCTACTCACTCCAGTATTCTGTCCTGGAGAATGCCATGGACTGTATAGTCCATGGGGTCACAAAGAGTCAGACACGACTGAGCGACTTGCACTTTCACTTTCTGGGGCTACCAGGTTGTCCTGACTTTGCTCTCCTCAGGGTGTTCCTGCTTTCTGGTTCTCTGTTTCTACCTCTGAAAGGTAAGGAAAGACTGAAAGGACCCAGAAAATTCCTGCTCAGAGTTTTGGAGACAGTGCCTCTGAGTTTGGTGTGAGTGCTACAGGCTGACTGAGGGCCAAGTGTGTGGACGGAGGGGGCCCTGGGGCTCAGTGTCTTCACTCGAGCATCTGGTTTTTGGCGGACTCAGCAGCGTCTGATGCTGACAGAAAGGGGGAAAGTCACCTTTTTTGCTTTTCCTCTTGAATAATTCAGTTGTTCTGGGTGTAATGAGAAACGTTCACCTCCTAAGAAAAGAATGTTGTGTAAATTTACTCGTTTCAAGTTCTAGTGCTGATTCACTGGTAGTCGGTTTAAACCCGTTTAGGAGCCTTTTCGAAAGCTTTGCCATTGGTCGTGTCCTCTGATGAGATGTGGGCAGAGCCCCTCAAGTGCTGGGGGGTGTTCCTCCACCTGTGGGATCAGCGTGGCATCACCTCAAGACCTCATGTCCGCCGTCTCTCACATGCCATCCTGTGAGGTCGAGCTGGCTTGTCCCCATGTGAATGCTCCTCAGCATGCTCCGCAGGTGTTGTGTGTGTCTTGGGCTTCTGGAGGCTCCTTTCTGTTTCCCCTCCAGTCCCTTCTTTTGGTCATTGTAGTGGTTGAGTCACTGTATTGTTTGTGAAACTTAAAGCATTTGAGTAATTTCAGAATTTCTTTCTTCTCAGCAAAATGGATATAGGAATCAAACATTTCAACTTTTAAAAGAGTGATTCTGGTCATTGAGAATGAGAGACTCTTTTTCCTAACGTGGCTAAGTTTTAAGTATAAAATAACTCTTAATTATAGAATTAATTTATGGGTTTATTGTGTTTTACTGTTTGGGTTTTGGAAAAAGGTTGCCTGGGGCTGACTGTCAACAATTCTGAGTTTATACTGCTTGGAGTGTCCATTTTGTTTATCACTGTGACTGATTGGTCACAAGGAGGTGCCGCAAGAGTCCAACATATGGGAGTGTTTTTTCTAGCATCACTGGACTAATTCTGCCTTGAAGACCTGTCAGCCTTCCTTTTTTGAGGCCCTAAATTATACAGAGGCTGTAATTAGACGTCTCCTGTGTGAGAGGCAGTCGTCAGGGTTGTTTTACCTGAGTCCTCCTTAAGATTGAGTTTGTTCTGGACTGCTCCTTTGACTAGACCCGTGATATAGCTATACAGAGGTGTTAGTGTGCTCAGAGGAAGTGGGCAGTTTGTTTTATCCCTTTGGTCTCTGCACCCATGTCCCTGGCGGGTAAGCTTGAGCCTCCTGACCTCGGGTTGCATGGCTGACTAAGCAGACAGCGTGTTTGCTGTCTCAGGAGCCCAGCTGGGGAGCTTGTCTGTAGAGCCCGAGGGTGCGGTCAGGCGGGCTTCCGAGGGGCTGGGGTGATCACAAGCAGCCTGAACTGTGGGCGGCCCCGCAGCCCAGCTCACAGAGTGAGTACAGCTCAGTTGCCCTGTGACCTGGAGCCTGGACAGTCTGCCTAAGCACCATATATGGAAGGCCTTGAGCCCCATCTTTGTGGGGAGGGGATGCAGACTGCTGATCCCGGCAGCTTCACCTGTTACTCTGCTGCTTCACTCTCAAGAGTTTGGAGGGAGATCTGGCTGATGTGGGACTGGGCTGCCAGTGAGATGGGAATGAAAATGGGTGTGGTTCCCAGTGCCGGAGGTCACTGCACACAGTCTGCTTGTGCCCCATGGTCCTGTGGGGACAGACAATGTCAGGAGGGGTTGGGCAGGGCTGGTTCGGCGCCTATCTCTCCCAGTAGGGGGGCCCTGGCATGTGGAGACGCTATGGAGACTTGCCCATCCCCCATAGCTGGGTCCCCTCTGAGAGCCTGCCCAGCAAACGGGGAGCCAGACCTCTTTGGGCTCAGGGTTGGGGGTCCAGGCAGATGTCAAGAAAAGCCTGTGGAGGGGTCTCTGGGGCGGCCCTTGACAGGGGCAGGAGTCCTGAGGGTTGAGAGTGGAAAAGGTATCCATCAGGTGAGTCATCAGCGAGCATCCTGGGCTGCTGTTAGACATGCCTGCTGCCTCTCGAGCACTTTGTCACCCTGTGCCTGTGCTGCCCGTGTCCCGCTCGAGCGTTACTGCTGTAGGACAGAGACCTGCCCTCAGGCTGCTTCCTGTGAGTGGTCACTCTTAGAGTGGCGGGGCGGGGGGCGTTTCCTGTCTTGAGTCACGATCACGACAAGTGGTACTGAGCATTTGGGTAGCCATGTGGGTCGTCTGGATGTTTACCTTCTGTGTCCTGCCTGGGCTCCCATTGTGCCGAGTCAGTGCTGCTCACACCTGCACTGAAGCGGATGTGCTTGGTGCGGTAGCATCTCTGCCATGTCACGGCCTAACTTTTCTCATGCTTATTTCCGCAGAGTAACAGTTACCCCTCCATGGCAGACCCCTACCTGTCCAGCTATTACCCACCATCCATCGGATTCCCCTATTCCCTCAACGAGGCACCATGGTCTACAGGAGGGGACCCTCCAATCCCCTACCTCACCACCTACGGACAGCTCAGTAATGGAGACCACCACTTCGTGCACGATGCCGTTTTCGGGCAGCCTGGGGGACTGGGGAGCAACATCTACCAGCACAGGTTCAATTTTTTCCCTGAAAATCCTGCCTTTTCAGCCTGGGGGACGAGTGGGTCTCAGGGTCAACAGGCTCAGAGTTCAGCGTATGGAAACAGCTACACCTACCCGCCGAGCTCCTTGGGTGGCACAATTGTGGACGGACAGACAGGCTTTCACGGTGATACTCTCAACAAGGCACCAGGAATGAACAGCCTGGAGCAGGGCATGGTGGGCCTGAAGATTGGGGACGTCACCACCTCTGCGGTCAAGACGGTAGGGTCAGTCGTCAGCAGTGCGGCCATGACGGGCATCCTTTCCGGCAATGGTGGGACCAATGTGCCCCTGCCGGTATCAAAGCCGACCTCATGGGCTGCCATTGCCAGCAAACCTGCCAAACCACAACCGAAAATGAAGGCCAAGAGTGGGCCTGCCATCGGGGGGGCGCTGCCCCCGCCACCTATTAAGCATAATATGGACATTGGTACTTGGGACAACAAGGGGTCTGTGCCCAAAGCCCCGGCCCCCCAGCAGGTGCCAGCCTCCTCGGCGGCCCCCCAGCCCCAGCCGGCCATGCAGCCTCTTCCCGCCCAACCTCCCCTTCCAGCCCCACCACAACACACGGCCCCCCAGCAGCTGCCCCAGACCCGCTGGGTTGCCCCTCGCAGCAGAAATGCAGCATTTGGGCAGACCGGGGGCCCCAGCAGTGACAGTAACTCCCCTGGGAGCTCCCAGCCCAGCACGACCCCGAGCGCAGAGTCCCACCCCGTCTTAGAAAAACTGAAAGCCGCCCACAGCTACAACCCCAAGGAGTTTGACTGGAACCTGAAGAGCGGGCGCGTGTTCATCATCAAGAGTTACTCGGAGGATGACGTGCACCGCTCTATCAAGTATTCGCTCTGGTGTAGCACGGAGCATGGCAACCGGCGCCTGGACAGTGCCTTCCGTGGCCTGGGCAGCAAGGGGCCTGTCTACCTGCTCTTCAGCGTCAATGGCAGTGGCCATTTCTGCGGGGTGGCTGAAATGAAGTCGCCTGTGGACTACGGCACCAGCGCCGGGGTCTGGTCCCAGGACAAGTGGAAGGGCAAGTTCGACGTGAAGTGGATCTTCGTGAAGGACGTGCCCAACAGCCAGCTGCGGCACATCCGACTGGAAAACAACGACAACAAGCCGGTCACCAACTCGCGTGACACCCAAGAGGTACCCCTGGAGAAGGCGCGGCAGGTGCTGCGGATCATCGCCTCCTACAGGCACAGTACCTCCATCTTTGATGACTTCTCCCACTATGAGAGGCGCCAGGAGGAGGAGGAGGTGGTGCGCAAGGTGAGCATGGCCCAACACGGACGTTGAGCAGCTGTCGCCACAGCACCTGGGTCCTTACCAGTTGTTCAGAAACACTGGGTCACAGACTGTTGTAGAGGACTTGGGTGACTCGTTAGAACAGGGCTTCCCAGTCTCTGTCCAGCCCGGAACATTTAGAAATAGAGTTCTGTGGCCCCAGGGTGGATGGGCGAGGCTGCTGGGCCAGATGCCCCCACCAAGGCCCACCTGGGCGTGGCCCTCAGCAGTGGGGACACTCCAGTCTAGAAGTGGCTGCTTATTTCTTTTGTCTTAAAAACCCAGTATGCTGCAGTTTCTGGAAACTTGAATCTGCTCCATCTAGTAAGCAGCGGGCAGGGGAGATTGGGATGCAGACAGTTCATAACTGGAGTGTGTGTGTCTGGAAGCACAACAAAAGACCCTTGAACTGGTCTCTGAGCCGGTCCCCATCTCCTGTGACAGTGCACGGGGTGAGTCTGCTGGGTAGGAGACTGGCCCAGAAACGGGGAGGAAAGGGACACTGTGACGCACTTGGTAGAGCCATTTTGTTAAGAGTTGAGCCTGAGATTCTTCCTGCAGCTTTGGTATTAAAATGTCTTTTCTTTCATGAAATGTCAGTTGATAATAGGTGGATTTTCAACCCTTTATAGTCTTCCTTGTTTTTTTTTTTTCCAAAAAAAAAAAAAAGCTTTGCCCATCTCGGAATTCAGTGTCCTGAGTGTTTTTTGACAGAAAGGCTTGTAAATGGGACATAGAGCACAGTGCTGGTAGCAGTTGGGAAGTTACACAGAATGACCACCCACAAAGCTTTGGAAACAGGTTGGTCCCACTGTCTCCTTGGGGCAGAAAAGAGATGTCTTGTTATATTTTCAGTTAGTGTGAAATGGGGATGAAATGAAACGCAGAGATGCTGAATTTGCCTGGATAGGATGTAGGTCTTGCTCATGAGACTTGAGGCCCCTGGTGACCAGATGCTGGCTCTACATGTGTGTCTCATGCGCTGTGGCCCTTGGTTCTGATGGTTGTAATGAGCTGAGGGGTAGACTTCTGCCCTGCCCTGGTGAGTGTGTGAGGTACCCCTGTCCTGGAATTTGCCTTGTGGTGATGCGCTTGCATGTTGGGAACAGGTAGACGGAGGAGCCACCCAAGCCCAGACCCTCGGGGCCCATGGCTTGCAGCTGTTCCTCTGGGAGTCTCCTTAGCAGGGCTGTCCTCTGGCTTTGCTGGGAGGCTTACCTGGGCTGTCCCTCCCCCTGAGGCAGGGGTACTGCAGAAGCAGACACCATGAGCCAGCTGCATTTGTCCACAGGGGTCAGTGCTAGGTTAATTCACGTCTTGGAACTCCAACCTGTTGATATCCTGGAGAGATCTCAGGTCTCTCTCGGCTCTGTGGGCTGTAGAAGAACGTGGGTGGGTCTTGTTTTGGCCCCACAAACGTCTACCAGGACACTTGTCCCTGTGGTTTCTTCTGGAGTTGGCAACTGGTGCTGATTTCCTGGCAGGAATTGGGTGTGTCCTTAAAAAAAGATGTGACTGAGATGAGGGTTGAAGCAGCTCCCTTTTAACCTCTGAGCTTTCTGGTGGGGCCACCATCACCAGGAAGCCCACCCTGGAGATGCTCAGGTAGTCTTTTTGTTTATCAGCTGGTGTTTGACATGATTGTGACACTTAGCGACGTGTTGCATTGAAAGGTAAGATGTGCTTGCCGTTTTGCAGGTGTGCCATTGTCCTGCACCTCAGCTGTCCATCTGAAAGCGGGCTGGCTCTGTTGGGAAGCACCTGGTCTTGTGGCAGCTGGGTCAGACCCAGGCCTGCAAGCCTCTGGGCTTTAAATCTAGAGATGGCCACTCCCTAGGGTGCTTAAAATAGTGCAGGTTTTAACTGACAGAATCAGGTTGGAGAGTTCCTCATACGACCAGACTGGCCGCGGCCCGCAGTCAGCTCTGCAGACATAGTGACTGCATGGAAAACTGGGCAGAGATGGAGGGTCAGGATTGAGCCTCTGCTGGGGAGGCAGACAGTCGGCCTCTGTTGGGCTTGGTCTGAGAAGGGGCTGTTCCAGTCTCAAGGTGGTGGTTGTTGTCATGGTTAGAGGGAGTCGGGGCTGTGGGAGAAGCCTGCCCTTGTCAGCATCACTTCAGCCGCAGCCACTTTGAACTTGGAAGAGAGTCAGGCCTTGTTGTCCAGGAGGGGCAGGAGCTGGGTTCTTTCTAGAAGGATGCAGGACACACAACTCCTAGCGTTTCCCAGTCAGAGTTCAGGGTCGGGAGGCACAGTTAATTCCTGGAGTCGTAGCTGTCCAGCAGCCTGCCTGCTCACCCACATATTTTGGGGCTTTTTTGGGACAAGAGGATAGTAAGAAAAGTACAGCAGGTGCTCCTGAGGTTGACTAGCCCTGGGTGATGACATGGAGGACCAGGGAATTGGGGTCTTGTTAACCTGAAGGTACCTGAGGTCAGTTTTAGCTAAAAAGAGCGTTTTTACTGCATTATACTATACACGTGTAGTGACTGTTGATTGTTTGGGTGTTGTGTCATCGACCAGCCTCTGCCCAGCAGGGTCCTTCCCAGCTTCACCTATCGAGAGGGGCAGTGGAGGGGGGAGCAGCGCGGGCGGGGAACGTTGGCGCATTTGCAGTCGAGTCAAGTGGCATATCGTAAGGAGGGGCTGAGATGGCTTTCAGCAGGTGGGCAGATGTGGGGACGTGGAGGGCTGGAACTGTGCTCACAGGCTGCTCACACACCCGCCCTGGGAAAGGTGGTCCTGTGGGCAGTAGGAAGCAAACTCGCCAGAGGAGCCTTCCCTGCCCAGGTGTCACCATATGTCGGCGGTTATGAGGTGCCTGGCCCGTGTGGCCAGGACCCTGTAGCTTGGAGCTGCCGTGGGTGGTGGCCAAGTGGGGAGCAGGGTCCAGATCTGGCCACAGCAGCTGGACTTGGAGGCAGGTTGTCTGTGTGCACGATGGTCCATGTGTTACACTCTCTCCTTTCTTGCAGGAACGGCAGAGTCGAAGCAAGCAGTGAGGGTGCAGCAGGCTCTCATGCCTCTGACGTGGGGCTGCGCGGCTGAGGGCGTGTGCCTGGTGCTGTCTCCCGGCGGCGGCTCTGCTGGCCTCGTGCAGTGCTCGCCTGCTCACATCTTTATGTCCTTTGTAGTTTATTTTCGCCCAGATGAATCTGCATTCATTTGTATTTTTTCTATGTATCATATAGTATTGTAGAACTCACTAATAAAGGACTATGTTTTTGTCAGCTTATCAATCACACTGACCTAACACGAAATGTAAGTATCCTTAAAAACAAAAACCTAATTCATCCCAAAGATTTATTATTTTGGGGGAACGTTATGTTCCTATTCTTATATTCACAGTCATTTAACATTTTTATGTGAGACCTTTTGTCTCTCACCCCTTTTGCTTTAATACTGAACATAAGACACCATGAGTTGTCTGCCGTTCTGTGTGTTGTGTTTTAATTTTGCTTCCCTTCAGGATGCTGAAGTCCCCAGGCTGATGACCGACTTGTTTGGCTGCTTTGCCATTTCTTTTGTTATCTGTCTGAGATGCTCATCTGCCCGCTTGATATCCACTAGGCAGAGGATAAATTTCAGTTTTTCGAAAAGTTTGGTGAACCTGCTCTCTCCTTGTAGCACCTGCCTCCTCCCTCCGTGCGCACCTGGGGTCTGCTGCGTTCCTGGTCGGAGGTGACCACAGGCCAGGTGCGGAGGGGTTCCTTCTGTGTGCAGACCATTTTACTTCCCCCTTTTTTTCACTGGAGAGTCCTCGAGCTGTTTCACGTTTTTATATCAATAATACTGAGCTTTAAACATGAGATCTGATAGTCCAGAGCAGTGTGATGGATGATGCTCCTGGTTGTAAAGTTCAGTGTGTGGGGTCTATAGTTTCTTTTATCCTGTTGAATGGGTAAAACAAAAAAAATCTTTTAGAAACTTAATTTGCTGTCATGTTTTGTGGAATGAGGGGCCACTGAAGAACTCGCCATGGGAGTTAGAGCATGAACGTGGTGTGCATGCCTGCCTCACGCTCACCGCACACGATTAGAGCAGAGGGCCTCCCAGGCAGAGTGCAGGTGCTTCTGAAAACTGTGCTCGATAGGCCCTCCGAGTCACAGTGCAAACAGTTTTATTTAGACTTGTATTTAGAACGTGTCACTTTTTTTGAACCGTTACCGCCTGTGCAGAGTCTCGGACGACATCGATAACTTTCTCTAGAAGAATACAAGCCTTAATAAACAATAGCCGTTTAGCAAGTCTTCTGTCACTTCATTCTTCACCCCTCGTCTACCAATTAACGTTTTAACTGCAGAGCCGGTTCACTCAACTCTCCAGAGGCCTGTGTGTCCCCCACGTCTGCTTCCATTTCTCACGTGTGCTCGGTCCTCGGGCAGCCTCAGAGAGCATGTGGTTCCTGGCTCAGCACATGGTCGGTGAGCAATGTGCCGACGGCCGCACTGTGCCAGGGCGTCCACCTGCTCCTGCCAGTCAGTGGCAGAGGTCAGGGCAGGATTGGCTGCTAACTTGCTCTGAGGGTGTGTCCGTCCCCGCCCCGCTGGCTTTGCGGACACTTGGGACTGAATGTGCCGAGGAGGACAACACATGCAGGTGTGTGCGAGGGGTTGCAGGGATGCATATGATTGCCATGTCCCATCCTGTTTTCAAAGGGTTTGCTGCTTGTCAGCTGTCCCCTCACACCCAGCTCGTCAACCCGCCTTGTCCTCCCTCTGTCCGCCCAGAAGCCTGCCATGCGGGAGTTCCATGATGGGTTTCATCTGCCCCATGTGCTCCACGCAGTCCCTCCAGCTCCAGAGGTTTCCTTGGAGGGTCTGACTGCAGACCCCATCCTCACGGGCTGGTCCGCAGAGAGCTCAGCCTGCCGGTGGCTTCTCCCTTGGTGGGGTCCTGCCCCTCTGGCCCCTTGCCATCCAGGATCTCCAAGATGGGGAGGCAAGAGCTGAGCTGAAGCAAGAGCTCAACTGAGATGAGATTGGGAGCCGAGGCACATGCTTGGGTCCTCATGTCATGTCAGCAGCCAACAGAGCCCCTTGGGCTCCTGGGCCCTGTGTGCAAATTGCTCTCCCACACATAGACACGCTGCTTCCTCCCCATACACACACACACATACATGTGCACACACAAACATGCTAGTTCCTCCCTCTACACACACACACACATGCTGCTTCCTCCCCCCTACACACACAGACATCTATGCTTGTTCCTCCTGTATCCTGGGGTCACTTGAGATTTGCACAATCAACTTTTTTCCCAAAACCAGCGTGTTGTAAAGGAATTGGAGCAGCGGTCCCCACCCGTCTTCACTCCAGTGACTGGATGGATCCCGTGGGGAATGTTTTCCAGCTGAGCCATCACTGGTGGACAGTGTTCTTATTTCTGAAAGGCCCCTAGAGGAGGGTGTGGGGAAGGTGGAGAGGATCCCTCTTCGCCGGGCAGCAGGTGCAGGGTTAGTGCTACCTGGACGCAGTGTCAGCCTCAGACCCACGGGCAACTCTGGGAGCAAACAGGTGCCGATCAGCTGTCCCTGTGGTGACATGGGGTGAGGGTCCTGGCAGGTGTGGAGCTGGGAGGGTGCAGGAGCAGGATGGCTGGACCTCCAGCATGGACCACTCTGGGCTCTTGCAGCCTGGGAGTCTGGGTGATGGTTTCTCATGTGACCAGGCTGCATGCCCTTGGGAGCCTGGGAGGGGAAGGGAGATGAGGGGCTGGTTTGTGGCCCCTGCTGTGAACACAGGGCCATATCATCTCGGCCCTGTGTAACTGGGTCGGAAATTAGGGACTTCTGTAGGTGGAGGGGAGAAGGGGGACCTTCCTTGGCAGGGGCCTGCCAGGCTGGGGACCCAAGGTACAGTGCTGTGGGCAAGTGGCCAGAGGTGGTGTCCAGCCCAGGCAGTGCCCCTCCCCACCACGTGTCAGTTCTGCTGCCACCTCCACCAGTGAGGAGGACACCCTCGGCCATCCCTCTGTCTTTGGATGGTTTGCCTGGGTTGGGTTAGTGGTGGCCTCGGCCATCGCCAGGGCAGATGTGGCCAGCCCCACCACTGACTTGGTGGGAGAGACGGAGAGGGAGCAAGTACTATTTCTCAGTCCAGGTAGAAAAGTCAGGAGGGTGGGCTTGATGAGCCCCGAGACATCTGGGTCCCTTGGCAGAGCTGCTGCATGGGGCAGAGGAGTGCCTTACTCCCCTTTGCTATTTTGGGGGACCTGCCAGCCCTTGGGACAGGGCTTAGGCACCTGGAGATGGGGAGGTACCAGGTGCTGTGAGAGGAGCCCTGGTTTCCGGTTGAGATGGCTGCTCAGAAAGGCACATTCCTGGGGGCAGGGAACAGTGCGGGGCTGGCGAGGAAGCCACATTCTTTGCTCTCCAACTTTTAATTTGGAAATAATCTCCAACTTTTAATTTGGAAATAATGTCAAGTTTACAGAGAATCTGTAAGAAGAAAACAGAGGACACCTTTTACCCAGATTTGCTTGTTGGTAGTGTTTGGCCCCACTTCCTTGGTCATTTGCTTGCTGCATTTGCATGGATGTGTCATACACATGTGTGTTGTAGACAGGTGTGCCTGTCTTGTATGTGTATGTGTGTGTTGTGTGTGTGCATGTGTGCTGTATATGTGTGTGGAAGGTTGTGTGTATGTACGTGGGTATGTGTTGTGTGTATATGTCATATGTACATGTAGGGTTGGGCTTGCCCGGTGGCTCAGGTGTAAAGAACTTTCCTGCAATGAGAGAGATGGGGGATCGATCCCTGGGTTGGGAAAGATCCCCTGAAGGAGGGCATGGCAATCCACTCCAGTATTCTTGCCTGGAGAATCCGCATGGACAGAGGAGCCTGGAGGGCTACAGTCCATGGGGTTGCAAAGAGTTGGACATGACTGAAGCGACTCAGCACATATACACGCACATGTAGGGTTGCGTGTGTGTTTATGATGTATATGTGTGTTTGTAGGTATGTGTTGTATGTGTGGGCTGTGTGTACAGGTAGACTGTTGTATATGTGTGTAGGTGTGTGATGCATGTATCTATGTGTAGATGTGTGCAGTAGATGCATACATGTGTATGTACAGGTAGGTATTGCTGTATATGTGTGTTGCATGTACGCACAGGTTGCGTGTGTGTTCTCGCCCCGTGGGAGGTCTGTGTGGAGCTCTCAGTAGATGCCCTTGTGTGTTGGGCTGCAGCACATTAGGCGTCAGTGAGTGGATACAGCTGGGCCCTGTTTGGTTGTCAACACAACAGTGTCCTTGGCAGCATCTTGGGGGAGGAGGGGGTGCTTCCTGGTGGGGCCTCCCCTCCCCCGCCATTGCCATGGATGATGACCTCCCACCCTACCCCACTCCTACCCCTCCAGCTCATCTTACAGACTTCTCCAGGTGGCCCGCCCCACAGTGGCCGCCTCTGGCAATTGCTGTTCCAGGGCCGTGCAGAGGGAGGGCCCTCCACTGGCAGAAGGAGGGACAAGGGTCCAGGGTGGGCCAGCAGGCGCTCAGCAGGACCCACCCCACTGGAGGATGAACTGCGGTGTCCCCTTGCTCATGTGAGACTGGCCGCCAGCTCTGCAGGAGGCCCATCATCCAAGGGGTCCTGAGTGATGACTGCCCTCGGTTCCCCACCATGGTAGCAGGCTGGGCAGCCTCTCCCTGCCCGCACCCACTGTGAAGACAGCTGCAACGAAGGTTCCGACGTGGCCCTGGTAGATGAGGCCCCGTGCTTCATGCCTGAGCCCTGGGTCAGTTCCACCAGAAGTACAGTTTCCAGGGAGGGGCCGGGGCCTGTGGCTCACCTGTTTTTGCTAAATGGCACCCTTTCCCCTGGTCACCTCCCCCAGTGACGTCCGGGCTCCTTCCTGCCCAAGTGCATGCCTGGTGCAGACACCTGAAAGGTGTCACCCTGTGGAGTGGACATGTACCTTCATGCAGGTCCCCAGGGCCTCCTATTGTCCCCAAGCCCTGCAGTCACTGAAACCTGGAATTCAGCCAGCCTCTGGAGCTCT